AGAGCAAGTTATAAAGGAGGAGCAGGGTAGAAGGGAGTGTTGTGCCCAGCAGAACAACTGGTGCAGTAGCAATAAGCAGCCACTTAATGAACTTTGTTGTGAGAAAGTACTTTTAAAGAATATGAACCAAAAAGGAAAAAAAAAAAAAAGGATAAATAGGAAAAGTCTGGAAAGCCTTAAAGAGGAGAGAGAGAAGTGATTCTTCCAAATTCGAACCAAAGAATGGCCTGGGTTGGAGGGGATCTTAAAGATTATCTGTTTCCAACCCCCTGCCATGGGCACTAGATCAGGCTGCTCAGAGCCCCATCCAGCCAGGCCCTGAACACTTCCAGGAATGGGGCCTATGCCAGTGCATCTTCCCAGTAAACAATGTCTTCCTAATTCCTGATCTAAACCTACTCTGTGAGTGTGAATCCATTCTCTCTTGTCCTGTCACTCCAGGATGGTCTCTATCCATCCTTCCTATAGGCTCACTTCAGGTGCTGGAAGGCCACAGTTAGGTCACCCTGAAGCCTTTTCTTCTTCAGGCTGAACAAGCCCAATTATCTCAAGATACAGGGATAGAGTCCAAAAGGCTTGCAAGTTGGTGAGAACTAGACTCAGCTGTCAGTGAAGTTGCTCGTGTTTTTGCAATACGGAGTTTTGGACACTAGTATTCAATCAGAGGCATACAGAAGTATTATATCACTAATTTGTGCAATATTTAGGGGCACTTTTATTTTGAACCTTAGCACTTCAAATATTGATAACTAGTAAATTTCAAATTCTTTACTCCATTGGAGGACACATGGCAATGCATGCAGGTAGGACCATATATTTCATAGCTTTGTGTTTTTCTTTGATTTGAGTTAACATGAATAAAATGTTAACCCTAATAATACTCAGTCTACCCCATTTAAACTGGCTCTATATACATTAAGCCACCAGAATTGTTTATAAAGTAAGAACATAAATCTGTTGGCAGAGACAAACTATTCTAAATTATATACTTTGTGACATAGGGCTCGATTTTTGCTTTTTATTATTAGAACAGTAATGATGTATTCACTATTTAAGATTGCTCTCTGCTTGTTACACAAAAGGAAGGTAGACATGGTCTAGGCTTTGTGGCTTTAAATAAAAAATGAAATAAATATATGTCAAATTGGAAATTCATAAAAGGTCCCAGATGACTAAATGAGCAAAATGAGTGTTGTGATGTGCTAATACATACAAGTTTTCAACTTATACAATATCATGTTTTAGCTAAATGCCAGTACCTAAAGGAATTTATTTAGGATCTCTGTAGGAATGCATGCTTTTCTTTTTCCTTGCCCAGAGTTGCTTTTCAAGCCCTCCTAGTATATTTAGTTTTTGGATTTCTTCCTTCTATCCTGTCTCTTCCCTCTGTCTTTCCAAGCTTAACCTTTGCAAATTCAGTGGGAAGCTGTCTGTGTTCATGGTATTATGAACTTCAGGTTTTCAAGCAGACTTGTGTAAAGCTGATGCATATTAAAAAAGCACAGCTCTTGTGGACATTTTTTTGCCTTTTTCTTGTTTTTTAGTTCTCAGTGCTGGAAACAAATGCAAAATTGGTAGTCAAAGAGAACCAAATGTTTATATCAATCTGTTAGTGAAACAGTTGATTTTAGTGGCTGATGCTTACAAACTTGCAAGAATCCACCAGAGAGCTTTCTGCAGCAGTTTGTTCAGTCATCTTGTATCTAGATTCAGAAACAGTGTTTTCCTAACCTCTTAAGTTTTATTGGTGATAGTAACATTATTATTTTGGGTCTGCTGTTGGCTTTTAATGACCTGTGTTGCATGATAGGCATTTATAGATTTAATATACTGACTAATTTATATTCTTGCAGCATTAATGCAGCACCACAGTTCTTGAATGTTAAGAATTAATCCTTTACTCAGTCACCTTAAATTTTGGCAAGGTCCTTATGTTTGATAATCCTAGACTTTAAGGGAGGAAAAAGGGATAAGCAGAGTGTTTTCATGGAAGTCAAAGGAAACTTACATTCAGAAATTGTGTTTGAACTCAATGTAAGTAAGCATTGCTCATAAAGGTGAGTATTTAGTGTCTTACAGCTCTACCTAGTTCACTCTGGTATGACTGAAGATAAATCATAACCACTTAGAGCAGGGAAAAGCCACAGTGTCTTGTTGCTGTTCAGTATTGTTTGGTGTGAGTGTCTTAAACTGAGACTGGATTGCTGTTCTTGTTTATTCTCATTTACTTTTACTGTCTTGTTCACCCCAAAATTGAGAGAATATAAGGCAGTTTTTTACAAATCTGTTGATGTTCATGGCAATTTGAATTGGTGTAACTTAGTCAAGTTTCCATATGTCAGCTTTTAAATGGTTTAAATGCACTGGGGAAGAAAGGCCACAAACCTGCCTTGTAGAGAGTTTTTCTTTCATGCATAAGTTTGACTTTAGTCAATTGTAAAAGTACTTGATCAAGGACAGCAGATGTGAAGTATGCACCTTTTAGATGCAGCCTGTTTTCTTACACTGAGATTCCTGACACCTCTCTGCAGCTGAAGCCAAGTGGGTGAGAGGTGAGGTGCTGCTCCATGCAGTGTGTTTGGAGCTTTAGGTTAGGGTCAGTGTGGGGCACGTGGGCCAGGGACAGTCTCTGCTTTGTGTCTTGGTGGCTGCAGAAGAGCATCTTCTGCCTCATGGGCTACTTAGCCTGGGTGCAGGGAGCCTGGACAGAAGTTGGCTCAGCAAACTGGAAAGTGTTTTGCCTTGCCCCTCTCTGGGCTCTGGGGTGGTTGGCCTTGGAGGTCTCTGCTGGGTTTAGGTGAGCAGGTTCCTCACTGAGATGCTTCAGGCACAAAAATAGTTGGTTTCAGGCACTTGTTTGCACTTACACTGAGAAATTATCTTTTTTAAATGAAGGCAGAAGTTTCCTTAAGTTGATTTAGCTTAGTACAGGAGAGCTACAGCATGACACTGTCCTGTGTGCATTAGTAGTGTTGGCAGTAGATAAACTGTGAGGGCTCTGCTGCATCTCAAAACAACCATGCATAGTGTAACCTTTTCTGGCAAGAAATTTAACAACTAAACATCTTGCATAAGAAATTTTGAATAGTACAAGGCTGAAGAAGAAAAGGGCAAATCAGACAATCCCCTTAATTACTCTCAGCAGATTGCACAGATAGGTTTGTTCAGGTCAGTTGGAAAGTATGGATTATGTTCAGTAGAGTTCTGAATTAAAGAAATGGAGTTCTTTGTGAAAAACTTGTTGGATTGAATGTCAGGCAAAAATGCTAAACTTGAGTACAGCTTTCTGTACATAATTTGCGTGTTTGTATTATGAAATTGGCCTGCTCAGCTGCTTGGCACTTTGATGGCACTTGGATTAGTTATGGAGAGAATTCACCCTTTGGACATTATATTTCAGCAGCTGGTTTATTTTGTACATAAAACATTGCTATGTTTTACTTGATGAAGGGCCCACCAGTGGAATGCTATTACATCATGAGACATAACTTCAATTAGTATCAGCTTCTAGACTGACACTTGAATTAAATATTAACATTTTCTTTGCTTTGAGTAAGTAAACAAAGGACTCTGTTTTAATCTGCCATCATTACAAGGATGGATAAAAGGGGAACATGTATTTTGAGCAGCGAAACGGGAAAAAAGTTTAACTACTCAGTTGTCTACCTTGATTCAGCAAGGACAGAAAGGTCTTTTCTCAGCTGATATTTTTGGTACTTTTTGCATCTAAAAAGAAGTGTGACAGTGGTAGTCTCTTTGTTTTATTGGGGATGCTGTATACTGTAGGGTATGGAAAAGGTTAGACTCTGGACAGGCTCTTTCACAAGGACAATCAGGAACATTACAATTTTGCACAACCTTTTTTTCCCCCTATCAGTATGTTCTAAATAACTAGAATAAGTTCAGAGCCTCTTCAAAATTTGCATTTCACTTATTTGCCACTATGGTGTTGAAAGCTTATTAAACTGATGTGATCTGTGACTTAAGTCTTTACATGGGTAGGACAAGTTCTGGGATCAAAGTCTATTGCTGGGGTAAGCAAACTCTGCCTTTCCAAAACAAATAGCTAAGATATGTGATAGAGTGGGAGGAGAGTTAATTATAGATTGTATACCCAAGAAAGTACAAATAGGCAGGCAGATCTTTCCTGTGCTTCCCTGATGAGCATGTTTAAGGTATTTCAGACCTTTCCTTCTACTCTGTCTTCATCAAAATGCTCTTCTGTAATAAATTGATTTTTCGTTAAGTTGCTTTTTGTCTGTACAGAAAAGCAGTGATGCAGTTCCACAAGTTCTGAGGTGTCCAGTTCTCGGCCCAATGCATTGGACTTTTATTGTTTGCAACCCAGAGTCATCTTGCTGTTGCACTCTCTTGGCTCCTGGCTCTGTTACACTCAAGAGTTCTTTGTAGGTGTACCTGCAGACACCTGTTTTCATGTTCTAGACAGACAGACACCTGTCTACTCATGTGTCCATAAAATGGGAATGTTATCAGTCCCTAACCTGCAAAGTTGTATAACCCAATTTCCTTACTCTAATGTGCATCCCTTAGATCATGGAGGAATGGGAGGACAGAATGCAAAATATTCAGCTAATGCAAGTGGAAATAAGTTGCCCATGCAGAGATGTACTCTATGCACTGAGTAGTAGATGACAAAGGGCCTACAATATAAATTCTAGATGGCTAAACAGTGTTTCATGTCAATTGAAAACTGACAGTTACACAATTAATAAAATTCTTGTTGTAAAATGTAATTTGCCTATTATGTAAAATTATTGTTCCTTTTATGTGATTAAATGCAGAGATTTTTTTTTATTACGCTGTTTTCTTGGCAAAAGTAATTGTCTTCTGATGAAAGTATGTTTAGCAATACTCTGCCTTCTGAAATAAAACTTAACATTTCATATGTTTAACACTTCATTTGTTTTTCTAAGGCTTATTTGGAAGAGTTTTGTATTTGTAGAAGTGGTTAAAGGCTTTCTTAATTTGTTTCTTTTCAGTCATTATTTAACCTACTGGAGTTTCGAAGACTAGTTTTGAATTTCAATCCTCCTGCAAATGCTCAAGATTTACCCCGAAACCAAAAGGTAAAACGAGAAGCTGACTTCCTCTCATGCCTGAAGAGGGCATTTCTGTCTTGTAATTGAATTTTGCACTGTTCTGTAGCTCATACAGCGTGGGTTTTAGAGGTGCCACTTAACAGTTCTCTGAGCTTCCTGTTGTGGATCTTATGTAAATGGCATCAGGCTCACAGCAGAGTATGGGGCAGGTGCTGAGAGATGCAGAGTATTTCTCATGTGAGTGTAGCTTGTCTTAGCAAATGTATTTTATTTCAGTTCCCTCCCACTCGTGATCTGACATTGAGCTTTCATTTATTAGCTTGTCTCTTCTGGTTTTTCAGGAGGTGATTATAAGTATAAATTTTCTCATATTTATTATCCTGGTACTCATATAGGACTGGGGAGAGGAAGGCCTTGGCTTAGGTTTCTTGTGGCTTCAGAATGGCAAGTGGGAATGGTCATGGTGTGGGGGACAAGACAGACCTGTTTTTCTTCCTTCTTGGGCACCCTTTGAAGAGAGATACAATGGGGGCCCCTTGGTTTCTATGTTATGCAATGGGAAGGAGGAAATGGAAAAGGAAGTGGCTGTATGAAATGTGAAGACACTTGTTCCCTGATTTTTAGCAAGGACTTACAGAGCAATGAATTTTGCATATCCAGAAATTAGAATCATAGAATAATTTAGGTTGAAAAGAACCTTAAAGATGAACTAGTTCCAACCCCTGTGCCATGGGCAGGTGCACCTTTCACTAAACCAGGTTACTCAGAGCTCCATCCAAGCTGGCCTTGAACACTCCCAAGGATGGGGCATCCACAGCTTCTCTGGGAACCTGTGCCAGTGCCTCACCACCCTCACAGTAAATTAATTAGACTATTGCCTGTTACCCCTTTCTGTCAGATTCAAAGAAGGGATTGTGTTGTCAGCCTGTTCTTAGTTGTTTGTCCCCTCAGGCTTGTCTGGCATGTTCACTATCAAAAGCAAGAGCTGTAATTAGAGAAGCAAAAGAAAACAGGCAAAGAGAAGACAGTGTCCATTTTCTAAACCTCTGGGTATGTTCCATAAAAGGGAAGTTGAATGTTCAGTCAGGACTGGATAATTTCTCTTCTGCTCTACCCCTTTCTTTCCTCACCACATTTAAAGTACAAGAAGTCACTTTTTTTGGTTGGAAATCATATTTGCATTAGGTCATGAGATGGTGTGAAAATAAAACACAGTTAGTGTTCCCATCACAAGGTAGGGATGGGGCAGTGCATTTTAATAAGAAAGATAAGTCATGCTTTACAAAGAGTTGTACTAAAATATTTTTATTTTTAGATTGACTTTCTGCCCAGTATTTAATTTTTCATCATAGAATTTGTTTTAGTAATATCCTTCAGTACTCAGAAATTCTATGTTCATTTTTCAGCATGTAAAAAGCAATTGGCATCTAAAAAGTGGTATGAAATAGCTGATAAGAAGCTGTTGTCTTCATAAACATCTTACTCAAGCTTTGACACTTGCAGCCAAATGCCTTTAGCCGTTCCAAAGCACTTTATTTTGGAAATTCTGACCATGACAGACAATAAATTTGTGTGAAATGGTGTGACACCAGGCAAGTGCATGGATTTGTGCAGAAACCTTGCTTTCTGCAGGCCTGCTAGAAAGAATCTCTGGCAGTAGTTTGTGTCCTCTCCTTTCTTATATTCCAGAATGAAGTAACATTATTTCTTGGTGTACTCATCTGTCTTATCTACAGCTGAAAAAGGGTTGAGGGGAATTTAGCATAAGTGATCACTTCACTAGTTTGAATTTAGACAGACAGAAGACATAAGTATGCATGCCCCCACATGTAGTGCCTTTATTCCTTTATAAAGGAAGGCAATTAGAGGCAAATTGATTTAGAGTCGCAATATAAGTTACCAGTTGACAGTAAAAAAAAAAAAAAAAAAAAAAAAAAAAAGCCCTGGAATTTACTTCTGACTTATATAAAACTATTTTGCCTCAGTTTTGGTTTTGTTTTTATTTTTATTCCAATATTGACTACCATATGTGCATGACATTCTTCAAGATCAAATTTCCTTGCTAATAAAGGACATGTTTTAATAATTACAGATTTTGAATACTTGGGTTTACATCCTGTTGTTCTTCCAGTTGGTGGGAATTACAGTTTAATGCTGGGGTCATGACAATCTCTTGATTTAGAATTAAAGCATGTGGCTGTACTTCAGGGAATATTGCAGAGCAGGGTGTTCTTTCCCATCAATATATTGAATCCAAGTGCTATGAATAATTTGGCATGTCAACTTTTTAATCCAGAAGTCATTGGTATAAATTTTTACTTCAAAAAGCCTCCAAACAAACAACAGCCCCACCCTATTTGTCTCAGCTCTTTGGCTTTGATTTTCTGGATTTGAGCATACACTTAAAATCTTCCATTTGATTTAATTCACATTATTTTAATTTGAAAGTAATTTGTCTTCCTTGGTTTCTTTCTGTAGAACAAATGCAGTTCTCTGTAGTTACTGCAGCTTCTTTGCTGTCCCAGTTCTCTTGACTCTTGCTGTCACATGAACAGATCTTTTTGCTGTACGAACTGAGACCAGCTAAATATTTGGCCTCAGTGGTATCTTCAGGAAACATTTTATTATCAGAGGAAAGGAGTTACTGTGCTCCAGGTTAGCACATCCTTCCTCCTGTTCTGATATTATTGTAATATTATCATTATCTCACTCTCCTGGCAAACTGATTTGCCATAATGAATGTTTGCTATGTATTAAATATGTAGGCTGCTTTAAAAGCATTTCTAATAATAAGTTATTCCTACATGTATTAAGAAATTATTTATGCAGGCAGGATAGGCAATAAAATGGAGAATGTCTTAATTATGAAATTTCCATACAGTGCTTAGTTAAAAATTATTTTAATCTTTTTTGTGTTGCTGCATGTACAGGATGCTTTAGAGGTGAGAGCTGTATGCTGTGCTGTAATCACTTTATCAGTTCTTTGTTCTGATGTGCAAGTCCTTTTGTGGAACTCAGTACTTTATTTTAGAGACTGGCCCACCTTATTTTGAAGATTTTAGGGTTTGTTCTAGTCATGGATCCTGTCTAATGCATGAAACTGAGCTTTTTCAAAAGCAGCAAGAATTTCCCTGGTTTTAGAGAACTTTGGTGGACTTTGTAGATATTTGTTTTGCGTAATTCTACTGACATTAGTGGGCAGTTGTTCAAGCTAAGGCTACAAGTATGGCTAAAATTCAGCCAAAGTTGTAGTGTAAATTTGAGTAATGCAGTCATGTACTATGTATATTATAATATTGCCTGTGTACTTCAGATTTAGTGAAAAGAAGGTAAGATGTAGAGTATTCTGCGGTTAATCATTTGTATTATGTATATGAACTATCACTGGCATTGAGGCATCTTTATAAAATGTATCTAAAATTTAATATTCCATTCGTTTCAATAGAACACTTTATGAAAACAGCAAGAAAAATGCAATTTTTTTCAGTTTGTTTACTTCTTTTGTTGTTATATAGTGCTTTAAGAATCTAAATGGGAGACTGATTTTATTCTTAAGTTAGGATGATTTGATGCTGGATTAGGGTGGCACTTGAAGTGCAGCCTTTTCTGCAAGGTGGACTAGAAGAGCAAGTTGAATTCAGAGATTTACATGACTAGAAGTATTTCCTAGGTACTATGTAGAACACATTGAATTCACTGTGTACTTCTTAAATCTGAAGTAAACCAGATTTTACGTACAAAAGGCTTTATGCCTTCTGAATTGACACAGGAGTGACTAAACAAGTCTCCTGTTTGATGAGCATGTGGACTAGTTTGTCATCAAGTAATTCCAGTTTGACCAGTATCAGACATCTATGCTGCCTTTGAATGATACTTTGTTCTAGATACAAGTGGATATTACATAGGGTTTAATTTCACAAGTATTTGCCAACTATCTACTCAAGAGTAGATATCCAATCTCCACAGCATTGGTTGTCTGTGATTTAATCTATGGTATTTGTGTTTCAGTTTATTTGTCTTTCATTATGCAGGCAGAAAATATTTCTTCTGTTCTGGAAATGAGCAAAAGAATGCCATAGTCACTGTACTTTAGAATTAGAAATGAGAGCAGCTATTTTACTTGTGTCAAGGGAAATAATAAAGGTTACTATAGACCTTAGAAATTTAGCCTTCAGTAAAAAATAAGTTTAAAAAAAACTGCTGAATAGTATGTAGGCTCACAAGAAATTATTCTAGAGGTATAGAGGAATACTAGTTACAATAAAATAATGCATATTGTTGCAGTGTGTTTATTTAAGGCTTTGTAAGTCTTGAGAGAAACATTTCTGTCCTAAATGCAACTCACCTTGTCCAGTTGTCAGTTCAGGCCCACTTCAAGACAAACAATATCATCTAGATATGATTTCAGGGTGCTTTTAGTTTCTGAAATGGAATTTTCTTCCCAGCAACTGCATTATTTTGTAACACTGACAAGTAAAAGGCATGCAGCATTACTTTGCTAGTACTACAAGTAACCTTATATATTATTATGACATTACTCAATTTATTGGGTAATGCTTCTGTTCAGTAGATTTGTGTTATCACTTTGTTAAATATTTTTATTCTTCACATACAGGAACATAGGAATCTGCCTTTCATGCGTGAATTGAGGTACCTGTTTGCACTTCTAGTTGGTTCAAAGAGAAAATATGTTGATCCATCAAGAGCAGTTGAAATCCTTAAAGATGCTTTTAAATCAAATGATTCCCAACAGGTAAATTCCATATATTTTCAATCAAGTTTATGCATGTTTTTATATGACCATATTTTTATAGGAAATACTTACCATGGACAACAGAAATTCAAAATGCCCACGGAAAAGCAGTTTCTAATTATCACAGTCTTTGACCTTTTTCTATAACCTTATGTGATTTCTGGTTACATTTATTGAAAAGATTAAAAAAAATTCCAGACAACAGGACTAGTTTATTCAATAAGATTTCTTCCTGTTATTTTAGAAATGAACTAATAGTTCAACATTCTTGCTTTTAAGATGTAGTTTAGCATCTAAGTCTGGGGCTTTTTGAAAGATAAATACTATTCCCATCTAACAGTACATCTGGGGCTGTACTGTTAATGTACAATCTCCTTATACTGCTGGATTAGATACTGGTTTGGAGGATCTAAATATTCATATTCAGGATTATTACTCAAATCTTAATGTGCATATTCTGCTTTTTTTGGAGAAACATTGTTTCTTCAGATGCTTTGTTTTTCCACATGAAGTTATGTGGCAGAGGTGTTTAATTACAACAGCACTCTGAATTTAGTGCTTGATGAAAGTAATATTAGTACTGCTTGCTAGATACCAAAGGGTTTGAACAATGGGATTCACGAGATGCCTTTGGACTAGCATGGTGTGAAAGCTGAGCCCAAGTAACAAGGATCACAGGACAGTGTCACTGCTGAGGAACACCAGAGCCACTCATAAAAAAATCAGTCATGGCACAGTCTTAGACATTGTGTGGTTTTGGAACACTGGTGGGGGGAGAAAGGAATTCTGCTAAACTGATCTTGTAAGGTGATACTTTATTGTGTTCTGTTACATATGTGATCTGATTATTTTTTAACAGCAAGACGTTAGTGAATTTACACACAAATTATTAGATTGGCTAGAAGATGCCTTCCAAATTAAAGCTGAAGAAGAGAGGTAAGATTTTTTTTTTTTTCTAGCTCTGCATGTTGAACATTTGGATGAGAGAAAAGCAAACCAAATGACCAAAAGGCCAGTTTTCTCTATGGCTGAAAAAAATTTGACTCTGTAGCTTGTTTTAGTGCGTGTGTTTTTTTCCATACATGTCAATACTTTCAGATTTTTTCCACGAGTTGTATTTTTTTCACCCTCTTATTTCATGTTAGAAATCTATTTCCATTAAGTCCAGAGTATATAAAGATATTTTGTAGATAATCAATAGGCTTTTTGTATTTTAATGCCAATTTGCTTTTTGATCCTGTAGTTAAAGTACTTCAAAACCTCGCTCCTCTATCTCATCTCAGAAGTAAATACTCACTGTATTAGTGAACATCTGGAAACTATTTTAAATACATGATTTTTTCTATAATGTTTCAAGAAACAGTTTTTACAAGGGGTTTGTACAGTTTAACCACTCATTATTGAATCTGGTTTGCATAGATTGTCTTAGAATGAAACACTTCTGAAAATTAGTTTTTAGAATATACTTTTCCCTGCAAATACCTGAATCCTTGTTATTGTCATTAGAGGAAAGTACAAAAATAAATAAACAGTAAAATGGGCATAATTTCTATAATGAATTCAGAATAGTCTGTTCATAGTTTTGTAAGTCAAAGGTTGTAGCTTTGACTTGGATTGTTTTGCACTAACACAGGTCCTGTTTTTTTAGGGATGGAGAGAAACCAAAGAACCCAATGGTGGAGTTGTTTTATGGACGATTTCTTGCAGTAGGTGTACTTGAAGGTAAGCATCAGAATTTACTTGAACTTCTCTGGTCATGTCTGTTCTGTGCTTGTCCAAGCACACAGGTGACTGATGCACTTTTAGAATTTTAGCTCCTTCTGCAGAAGCAGGTGTGGAGAACACACATATACATTAGTCTGTGACAAATGATTGGTCAGGTATGAGACTGAGGAGCAATGCAGTGAGCTACAGGGATCCACAAAGACTTTTCATAACCTTCAGGAGCTGAGTGTAAGTTCTCACTGCAGCAGAAGTTGGGGTGAGATACTGTTTGGATGAAATTACTGGGGCACTGTTACCACTAACTAATGGTGTACAGAAGGCAAGATACTGTATTTCACTGAGCTGTTCTCTCATGCTCCCTCTGATTAATGCAATTTAAAACTTCAGTTATTGCATGTCCTTCTGCACAATTTCTCATATGGAAAACTCACCCTTCCAAAAGTACAGTTTGTTGCAAAACAAGTGAATGGAAACCTGCTCAAGGGCAGTATTGGAGAGAGCACTGAGGAGGTACAACAAGCTTCCCTTTATTTTATCTATATGTAATTAGTAGATCTGCAGAATTGTACTGTTCTCTATTTCCAAGTGCCTATGGAAGTATTTTTGAGTCATTTTAATGTTGGTGATTCTGCCTCCCATCCAAATGAACTTTTGCATTTGAATGATGCAGGTATAGTCTGTTAAGTGGCTTCCAGGTTATTCTGTGACCTTGAACATGTTTGAGTTGTCAGATTTCTTGCTAGTAGCTAGCATTCTATATATTTATATGTAGCTATTTTTATCCCTTACATTCTCATTTTAACAGAGGAGAGGTGTAAAAATCAAACACGTGAAAAGAAGCTAGGAGATGCAAGACTTGATACTGACTTTTAGGTTGAAATAAATTGAAATTCTAGGTTGAAATCACTTGTCCCCCATATTTTTCCTCATGTTTACACTTACAACTTTATACAGTGTTAGCAAATTATAATCTTTTTTTTCAGTACAGAAAAGAATGTTCTCTTTTGTGGCTTTTTTTTGTAAAATGTACTTATACAAAGGGCTCTTTCAAACCAGCAATTCCACTGACTTTGCTGATACAATATACATTTGTATTATGAAGCTCCTATTTGCAGAGGAGGACTTTGATTTATATGTGTAAAACTTCCCATATATCTGTGGTGTCAAGTAATTTTAAGTTTTGCTTATTACCAAAAAACGGTCTGAAGAGGAAAATATAGTAATTATCAATATTGTTTGAGCAACCGTTTTGAACAAATTGTCTTTGGACATATAATTAAATTGTTCAGTAGGAAAATGTGGCTATTGTTCAATAGACTAGATCAATTGACCTAGGACTCTTAGGGTTTTTTTCAAGGTAAATGTTTTTTCTAAAACATTAACTGTTTAATTTTTCATATGAAGGTAAAAAATTTGAAAACACAGAAATGTTTGGCCAGTATCCACTGCAGGTTAATGGCTTTAAAGATCTGCATGAGTGCCTAGAAGCTGCAATGATTGAAGGGGAAATTGAATCTCTCCATTCAGAAAACTCTGCCAAGTCTGGTCAGGAGGTGAGTTAAGTGTTCATGTGGACTTCTCTTGGGATGTTGTTGTAATGCCCTTCATTTTTCTTTGGGTTTCATGTCTGGTTTTTATGGTTTATGGCACCTGCTGTATAGATGGGAATCCCCATTGCCTGTAAAGGTTGAGTTCCTTTCTCTGTGCACAGCTGTTCATGTTTCATCACAGTTATTTTAAAGATGTGAAATCTTAGAAGGTTCTTTCCTACTTACATAAAAAGTTCAGGTGTAATTTCTTCCTTGATGTCAGTCTTTTGCAGCAATGAAATTTTGCTTCCTTTAATCATGTCAAAGTACACACTTTTTTAATTGTGAAGCCTAGTGATGCACACTAAAATCGTCCTCCAGTCTGAAGTTCTGGTGCCAATTCTGTGTTTTACAACAATTATTTCATCTTTTACAATGAACGTATTTCCTGAAATATAATTTGAAGAAAACATAATCAATCCCAAGTTTAGTTTCTTCATGCAAGCTGAAACCTTGTATGTGCCTACTACAAGAGCACAATTGTTCATCTTATGAACTGAAGGTTATCTTGCACTTATAACCTGTGTGTATTCATGCATGCAATGTCAGTTCTGTTATAAATGCTTGACTAGAAAAGCCAGACTTGGGTATTGTGAGTTTTTTTGTTTTGGTTTTGAGGCTTTTTTAACTTGTAATATTGGGAAACTGGAAAACAGCAAGATAGTGATGTATAGGCCTATACTGTTACTCTTTGAGTTCTGTGAAATTGTCAACTTCTTAGCATGAGGAAGTAGAAGTGAAATAGCCATATGACAGATTGACAGTGGTGGAAAACCAAGAAAAGTAACATTGCTTCATTATTACCAGGGCCAAGTAAATTGGTTATGTTTCCCTGAAATCATCCATATTGCAATATTGCTTCTTTTAGTAGTTGTGTTTAAATATAATGCCTGAAAGATGTTACAGTGCATTGGAAGGTTTGGAAGCACTAAAGAACTCTGCATTTCTTGTAGCTTTAACATGGTCTGTGTCAACTGAACAAAGACTTGAAGTAACCTTTCTCTGAGCTGATTGATGCCAAAGCTTAGAGAACAATAATGTGGTGCTCACATGTGTTGAAAGATCCTCAAAGTAGCATTCTGTTTTTTCCCATATTCTCACCATTGACTCTAATGAGGTATTTAGCATGACTATTAGTACTGTTATTAATAGTAGTAGTAGTAGTATTGTTATCGTGATGCCTAAAAGCCTCAATTACTGAGCAGGGTGTCAGCAAGTGAGCTAATGTAGGAACAGAAAAAGGAGACAGTCTCTGTCCTGAGCAACTTAAATCCTGCTTCAAGGGATTTTAGCCATGAGCACAGGAAGAAAAGGCTGTTTGCCAGGTATTGTATGAAAAGACTATTCAAGACATTTGGCTGGATAGGAGAACTTGAAGTGAGCCCTGAGTCAAATGCCACGTCTGGACTATGGCACTGATGACAGATATAAGTCAATGGTGTCTGCAGCAATCAAAGAAACTTCAGGTGATGGTTAGACACCCATAACTTATTAAATGGGTAGACTGTGGTTGTTATGTTTGAGAATGGAAAGAAAAGATCTTCAGTACTGGAAGTGGAGCTGGATTTGCATTTGCATTGTAGTTGAGAAACAACGTATATTAAAAAAGAGGAGTGTGGATAGACCTCTGCTGAGTAGTCAAAGACAAATGGGGTAAGATGATGATAGCAGTGATTAGAGACATGAGTAGAATCTTTAAGCTGTTAGTATGGAGGAAATGTCGAACATCAGCTGATCCTGTTTCAGAGGGGGTCATTAGAGGCTTTGAATGATATCAGGTGAATGAAAGGATCAGGAAGTAGAGACTGAGAGAGCTATAGCAGGAAGAGGACTTGCTAACAACCCTAGTGAAAACAACTCTTTGAGTATCATTGAGGAGTTAAGGGAACAGATCAGTTGGCAAGACAGGTAGGCTCAGGCATGAGCTCATTTTTGTATGAGCAAAATAAATGTGAGTGGTAAAAATATTTCTGCCTTCTCTGCTGGAACACAGATAGGAAAGCTCTTATGCAGCATGGGCAACAAAATGGCCTGTATATACACTGAAGGGAGAAGGTGATAACATTGGAAAAACTTATGCTGACCTGCCCTCTAAAATCAATTTCTCTCACAGCTGTGTCAGTCTGCTGGTATTGTATCATTATTACTGAATTTCTGCTATTGGAAGGCATTAATTTTGGGAATTTGTGTTTCTTCATCCAGCACTGGTTCACAGAGCTTCCTCCTGTCTTAACTTTTGAGCTATCAAGATTTGAGTTTAATCAGGCTTTGGGGAGACCAGAGAAGATACACAACAAATTAGAATTTCCTCCAATTTTGTATCTAGACAGGTATGGTATAACATTATCAACAAAATTCTAGTGTGAATATAAAATAAATCTTGTACGTTTGTTAAGTTGATGATATGTCTTTTGCTTACTTGAATCATATTATATTTATGTCCTGTTTATACAAGTTAGAATTTTCATGGGTTTCATCTGTGTTAGAAAATACACATAGATCACAATTTAGGACATACTGCTGCTTTGTGTCAAAAACCTGCTTCCACTTCCATTTATTGCTAGGTACTTGTGTACACAGGCAAAATACCTTGAAAAATCACACTGTTTGTGTCCATTTGGGAAACAGGGTGACAAGTGGGATATTTCGTGATGTTCCAGATACTCTTCAAACATGCAGTCAGTTCTCAGCGTGAGTGCATGCAGTTTCTCTGTAGAGCTGAAATATCAGGATGGCTTTCAGTTAACTGCTGAATGTTATTTGTGAACCTAAATAATGAGACAGGAGTATTGCTCTGTGGTTGCCATTTAAACTACTTAATTTAGAGTCTCTCTTATAGTGGCTTTCTAACACATGTTTGTCATCCATGGTATCAACAGAGCTTTTGACACTGGGGAAAAAGCATCTTCTGAAAGTTGTGGAAGTGAAGGCTCATTTTCTTTTCAGTTCTGTTTTAGTGCTGAGTATATTGTAGGTTCTAGAGGGTGTGGGTTTTTATTAGTATTAATCTGTGTGGCTGATGGAGACAGACTTCATTTTCACTGTTGGGATACTATGGGCTGACACTATTTTCTAAATTCCATGTTTTACAGGTATATGCACAAAAACAGAGAAATAACAAGAATTAAACGAGATGAAATCAAGAGACTCAAAGAGTACCTCACAGTTTTACAACAGAGATTAGAACGGTACTATAGATAACTGTGTAAATGCAAATAGTATTGTGGGCTACATAGAATAACTCTTTGCAATTATAGACTTTGTGTGTAGTTATTTACCTGAGATTTCCTTTCTATATCTCTTTTCTTTTACCCTTTCTTTGGAAGCTGTGTATGAGTGTTGTAATTCTGATTCATGAAACGTGCTAGGAAAGGTTTGCTTTAATTAACTGCAGTCAATCAGAATAAAACACAATTCTTTTTCTTTCTTTTTTTTTTTTTTCTTTTAATTTTTTTTTTGTATCTGTGAGTCATGGCATTAATACGTTTTGTGGTTAACAGATATTTAAGCTATGGTTCTGGTCCTAAACGATTCCCCTTGGTAGATGTCCTGCAGTATGCCCTGGAGTTTGCCTCCAGCAAGCCGGTGTGCACGTCCCCCGTGGATGACCTGGGTGCCAGTGCCCCTGCCAGTGGCACACTGCCACCACAGATCCCCCCCAGGTAAGGGCTGCCTCCTGCTCCCCAGGGCAGAGGCCACAGCAAACCAGCCTCTGGGAGACAGGGAGCACGGTCAGCTGCTTTGTTCACCAGACCAATAAAACCAGGCATCTCCTAAGGGGGGGTAGTGTAAAGTTTCTGCTCTTTTCTTTCAGCACAGCAGGCTTAGATAAACAAAAATGTTAATGGCCTGGGTTTGTCTCATGCACTCACAAAAATGTCTTCACAAGGAGATCACCATTTTCAAGCACAGCCCAATCCCATCTACAATTCTAAATAGAAGATTCTGGTGAGGTCACTGATTCCCATGTGTATTGTTTAAGACTGAATTCGGCAGTGTCTATGTGCTGCATAGCATCAAGGTTTCTGGTGTGCAGTTTATCTGTTACTTTTTGCCTGGGAGCTAAGCTCCTTTTCTGCTGTGCAGTTTGCATATCTTACCAAATTTGTCAGGAACCTAAATAATCTGACTTCTTAAATGCAAAGTAGCTAAAGTATGAGTGAGCTAAATGTCCAATAATGTTGTTTTTCTCCCTATTTAAGCTAGTAGCTCAGTTTAGGGGATTGAGTGTACACTCAGTCAGTTTGCAGATGATGCCCAGCAGAAAAGAACCTGGGGGTGCTGGTCAGCAGTGGCTGAACACGAGCCCAGGTGTGTCCAGGTGGCCAAGAAGAGCAGTGGCATCTGGCCTATATCAGCCATGGTGTGGCAGCAGAACCAGGGCAGTGACTGTCCCCTGTACTGGGAACTGCTGAGGTCACACCTCAATCCTGTGTTCAGGTTTGGACTCCTCACTGCCAGAAGGACATGGAGGTGCTGGAGCTTGTCCATAGCAGGGCAGTGGAGCTGGGGAAGGGTCTGCAGGACAATTCTGATGAGGAGCAGCTGAGGGAGCTGGAGGGACTCAACCTGGAGAAAAGGAGGCTCAAGGGAGACCTGATCACTCTCTACAACTCCCTGACAGGAGGGTGTAGCCAGGTGGGAGCCAACCTCTTCTCCCAGGTAACAAGTGAGAGGACACAAGGAAAGGGCCTAAAGTTGCACTGGAGGAGGTTTAAATTGGATACTAAGAAATATTTCTTCACAGAAGGGGTTGTTGCATGTTGGAATAGGCTGCCCAGGGCAATGGTGGAGTCCTCCCTGGAGGTATTCAAAATATGTTTAGATATGGCACTGAGGGACATGGTTTAGTGGTGGACTTGGCAGTGCTGGGTTAATGGTTGGACTTGATCATCTTAGAAGTTTTCTCCAACCTAAATAATAATATGGTGATAGAGTGTAACTTTGGATAAGCGGACAGTAACAGTTTATAACATAGCTTTGTATGTTGTATTTGGACAGTAGGGTTCTGTCTTCTGGGTCAGTCAAGGTTGTTAAATTTGTCATTCAGAGAAGTAAAGTACGTGGATCTAAAAAGGCTTTTAAAAGATTTCCCATGCCTTACTGATATAATGCCAGCAGAAATTGTGATGATTGATAAGAGAAGACAAATTTTTAAAAGGTACCTTTGCTTGCATGAAATGCAATATCAAAAATAATAAACTGCTCAAACTCCTGTATAGGAAGTTTATTCTGTAGAAATGTAAATATTGTGACTTTTTTGTCCATCTATAGAAACACCACAGCATGTTATATGGAGTGACATTTTCAGCTGTTAATGTTCTCAGAACTTTCTAAACTCCTGAAGAGTCCAGATTCCTCAGGCTGTATCATGATGCTGTACACAAAGTAAAAATTCAGTGGCATGCAAGAAAGATATTCAGATTCCTCTTATGGAGTGTAATTATACAGAGGTGATCTTGTTGATGGGAAGAGAAAAATCTATAACAAGTCTTAATTTTTATTACCCTGCTGCTCTTGCAGAATTCTCCTAAGATAGCTGCTTTGCACTTTGAGTTAGAGTGGTTTGGAACAAATTTAGATCGGTTGGTAGCACATTTCCAATGAGGCATAAATATCAGTTGTTCCCTTCATTATTGCTGTTCAGCTAACATAAGCTGTAGGTAGGACATTAGAAAAAATATGTCTGCTAGGACTAAGGCACATGAAGGAAGTTATTAAAGTGAGAATTTGTGCTTATTAGATTTTATAGTCATTGGCCATAAGACAAACTGCTGTGATTTCTCTCTGCCATTTGGCTGTAAATGTTTCAAACCACACTTATTTATGTGTATGACATGATTTGAAATTGTTCAGTAGTGTTTCAAATAAAGCAAACTTTGTTGTTGTGCTAATATGTAATACACTACAAAGCTTTCAGAATTTAAATACTAATTCCATGTTGCTGTTACGGTTCTGGATTGCACTTTAGGAAATTGTTACCTTTAAAACACCCGTTTTCAGATAAAAAGTTTATTTTTATGGTGTAACTTCTTGTCTGTCTATGTGATGATTAAATTTTTGTATTTCATGTTTTGAATGAATGCAGCACAATAGAGCAGCAAGGGCCTTCATCATCAGATGTCCCAAGCACATCTCCTGTACAAAGATCAGTAATACATAAACCATTCACACAATCACGGATTCCCCCTGACCTGCCAATGCATCCGGCCCCAAGGCACATCACGGAGGAGGAGCTGTCTGTCCTGGAGGGCTGTTTGCATCGCTGGAGGACTGAAGTAGAGAATGACACAAGAGGTAATGCCACACTCTGGGGAATACATTTGCTGTAGGAAAGGATTTGTGCAAGTGGGGGAAATCTTTCATCCAAGAAGGTTTAGCTTTTGGCGTGTAGATAGATGTACCATGTGTGAAATACACCCCTGTTTGGCTTTCTGTGAGATAAAGATGTAGTCATGTGAAATTATACAGCCTTGTGGAAGAGAGCTTCTTTCTTCTCTTTGTCTTTCAGATTTACAAGAAAGTATATCTAGAATACATCGGACAATTGAATTGATGTACTCTGACAAAACAATGGTCCAAGTAAGTACATTTTTGGCATGAGATAATTGAAAATAGATCCTTTTTGGCACTTTGAAGAATTTCTTAGATGCTTGAAAACAGAGCAGGTATACATCTATTACATAGTGTTCTGAGAAATTTCATTGGAAAGTCATAACGAGTTTTGTAACCCCTTTAGTTGTGCACAGTCAGATGAACAATAGTGTTGCAGTATTTTACAGGTGACATGCTTAAATTCAGCCAACCGTGATGAAAAGCCCAGATAGGTTCTATCTCTGATCCCTGTGTTTTACCTGAATGCAGATTCACACAACAAAATTTTATTGTCCTGATTTGCCTATTTGCTCAGTAACCTTATGGCTTTAAGGTGGTGAAGCATTAGACACAGGAAAGTACTATTTACTTTGCTGCTTAGTGCCACTGTGCATTGCAACTTCCATGCTAATACATGGAAATTCAAGGCTCCCAATTTTGATTTGTAGATAATTCCAGTGAGTGGTTTTGTTGCTATTGACTTAGTTTTTTGTTTCATTATTTTTGGGGGTTTTTTTTTTAAACTTTGTCTAGATTTTATATCAGTCACAACTTTGATTATTAGTCTAAGCTCTATTCTAGCAAATTCTCATCTGCCTAATCCGAACACTGTTTTTAGAATGTTTTACTGTGGAGTTGTGGCTCCTCTGCTGTTATGTTCACATACTCATGTTCTCTCACTCTGACAGGTTTTAAGGTTAAGGATTACTTCCTCTGTTACTTTCTGTTAGTAAAATGAACTATTTTCATTCCAAGTAAGATCTGTTCAGCTTACAGTTTTCCTTGAGGTATGTTTTCATTTTGTACATGGCTTCTAATAGTTACTGGCAGCTGAACTCTGATGTTAAGGATTTCAGGCAGATTTACCTAGATGACTTTCTTTAAGATTGCTGCTAGCAGGCACTTTTTTTTCCTTAATACTTGTGTTACAACAAGAAGGCCACAGGCTACATGTCATCTAACAGCAAAATGAATTAATTTGGTAACTTGCATCTGAATCGTCTGCCTGTGTTAGATTAGGTGTTACAGAAAGAAATACCTCTAGATAGGAAAGATGCTAGTCAGATGTCATTACAAAAGAAAAAAGACATTACTTGGTAAAACACAAAGTGCTGAACCCATCTGAAATCACAGGCTGGAAGGGAAGCTGCCCTTCTGCAGCTCAGCTGGTTTGTCCCTGTGGCTGTTTTGGCACAACAGGAAAGAGGCAGGTATGCAGAGCTGTCTGCTTTTCCCTGCCTCCCTCTGTCTCGGGGTGATTTGATAGCTGGGTATTGCCCCATTTCCTGGGAGCAGTCTCACAGTTCTCTCTGCACAGTACAGTTGCACGATTGCAGTCTTGAAGTCAAGTTGTAGGCACATAAAACTAGACACATTTTTAAGACAAACTTATAATATTTTTAGGATGCTTCCTAGTGTATTTATGAGCTATTTGGGAAGCTCATTGTCTTCTCCTTTTGTCCTTTTGGATTCTAAGGAGATACAGTAGTCCATAAAACCTTTGTGAAATTGTCATATGAAACATATTCCCAAAACATTTGTTTCATTCTCCTGAATGAATGTTCCATCAGTCTCTTACTTATTTCCTTCCTTCTGTGAACTTGCTTTTGGGAGACACAACTTTTTTTTGTGGGAGTTCGTCTTGGATATAGCAGCTTTGACATACCTGTTCTTCTGTAGCTACACGTCATGGGGTTGGTGAAGCTCCATTCCTGGTTCACGAGTAGTAAGTGTAAACCAAGAAGTTTAATGCCACCTATGTTTGTGTTGCCTTGTGCTATTAATTACTGTTGATACCATGGCTTATCACAAGAGATTCCTGTTGGTACTGAATTCACCTGTTCCCTGGTTACACACCCGTGTGGGGAACCTTCCTGAAAGCTCAGTGTGGATGACTGACAGCTGCTTCTCCTGACTTGAAGGAAAGGATGGGGACCCTCAAGCTGACCCCAAGTTAGGATGGTTTTAAGTAAAACAATTTAAATTCAATGGGGATATTTAGTCCCCGATTTTACAGTAAGAAAATTTTATTTTGACAAACTCTAAAGAGACACCTTTTTTTATAAATTAGGATCTGCATACATTTCTGTGCATATGCACAGGCTTTCAGTCATTTTAAGGAGGCTTTCACACTGGTTTAATAACAGATGTTAAAAAACCCCAGAGCATTCAGATTTAAGGACTTGCCAGGATTTCTTCTGTGTATGCTTCTTGTGTTTGGGAGATTGAGAGTGCATTTTGGTCTCTGGAATGACAGACTGATTCCAGCTGCTGTGCAGTCACTCTGCTTTACAGTTCAAGGGGAGTTGCAAAATCTCTAGCACTTGCATATAGCCTGGAAGAGAATGATCAGGTTGAAAATAACTTCAAGGGTTTTTCCCAGTCACAAGTGTATATTTACAGTTGTTGCAGTACTCAAACGATATTTGGGAAAAATACAGAGTACACCTTGAGTTAAAAAGACTGTTTATCTTCAGTCCAGATTGTGACATGAGTACAAGCTGGTTTGGGGGTTTTTCATCCCAGATGAGCTCTTGTCATTGAGGCACTCTGTGCGTAGCAGGCAAACTCATCTTTCCCTTTTATGTTGCATTTGCTATTTCAGCAGGTTAAAATGAGTCAATCACTAAGATGTTTTCAAAAGACTTGTAAGGAAGAACTCATCCATTCTGCTTCTCTTTCTCCTTCAGCTTTCCAATTACTTAGGTAGAAACTAAATTTCCCATTGTTCTTACTTGTTGGTTTACAGATGTAACCTGGGATTAATTTTACACTAATCCTAGAAACTGCTATAGTCCTTTGCCTCAGGAGGAGGAGAGGATCTTTTCAGGTCTTCTATGCCTTATTTAGCTTTTCCTGATACAGTTAAAATACTGGAAGACAGTTGTATTCCTATTCTCATGCAGGAATTTTATTTTTGGGTAACTGCATCAGATATTAATGTAAATAAATTCTTTTACTGTCACACAGAAAGCACTGCGTTTATTACCTTGAATTTGCATGTGCCTTTCCAGACTTTTTGACAGGTTTGCCAGGTCAGAACTGAAGCAAATCATAGGCAGTCAAGGCTGACTTATTTGAGGGTTTTTTGGTAGATACAATGAAGGTAGGAATATTAAGGAATTAAGAAAAGAGGATGTTTGGCAGTAAAGACAGAGTAGACATTTGTCATACACTAATATTTTTAAGATCTCCTGTAACTAGTAGTGGTAAGTAACATAGTTCCAAGTCCTTATGCTTAGTGGGTTGCTACTTTTACTTGTTTTTCCTCTGAGCTGTGTTTTGATCCTGATTAACTTTATTTCAGTTAATTTTATTTTATGTAGCAATTATTGCTGTCATACAATAGGAACTAAATGCTGTCAGGAAGGGTTTCACATTTGTTTTGTGTTCTGTTTTGTTTTTTTTTAAGGTTCCTTATAGGTTGCATGCTGTCCTAGTTCACGAGGGTCAAGCGAATGCAGGACACTACTGGGCATATATTTATGACCACCACCAGAACAGATGGATGAAATACAATGATATTTCTGTGACAAAGTCAACTTGGGAAGAGTTGGAACGGGACTCTTTTGGTGGTTACAGGAATGCCAGTGCATATTGTTTAATGTATATCAATGACAAGGAGCAGTACTTGATACAAGGTAATGTTATCCACACAGATTCTGCATGATTTAGAATAGCTGAATACATTGGTAAAGCAAACTTCTTTCCAGATTGATTTCCAGATTTTTGAAATGTTTTTAATAGTTATTGAAAGTTTTATTCCTGCTCCTGTCAGGTTGTTTTTGTGGGTGGAACAATTGCTGTTCAATTTATAAATCAATAAAGATAATGCTAGTGTTTCAGCATTATTAAGATAAAAAAACAAACTGTTTGCTAGTTTGTCAATATTTTAGAGAAGGGATTGCAGAATTTTGGAGGGTTTATCTCAAGATTAGAAGAGAAGTATGGAAATACAGAAATGAGCCTTTTGACATTAAAATCCTCATTTAGCTGCTTTTTTTCCCCTTAAGCTTCAGAGCCCTGATACACTCTACTGGAGCATGGAAACTTGAAATCTTATGCAGTAAATTGAAATGTGAATAATTTAGCCCTACCAACCACACATCAAACCTAAGTAATACGTGGTTTGGGAAATTTTTTTCAGGTCATGTAGGAGTATGCAGCTATAAGGCTTTGTATGGGAGTGTTTAAAGAGAGGACAGAGATCCCTTAGCACAAAGTTTTTAATAATGGTAGACAGAGAGGTGTCTGTGAAAAGTGTCCAGAGATTCAGTAGAAGGTCATGGAAAATATTGAAATTCCTGTTTTTTTTCATAGGGTAGAAGGCTCAAGTGCTCATTTATTCAGTTTTTAAACGAGAGACAATATTACCCTTGACATTCCTACGTTGCCATGTTGGTGGTGCATTTGCATCCATAGGGTGTTTGGGCCCTGTAGGCTGCCTGTGCCATTCCAGTTAAATCTGGGGCCTGCTCACTGCAGGGGAAATACTGCTGGTGGATCCTCTGGGATACCCCTGCAGAGACCATTGTCAAAGCAAAAGGAAGATTACTCAATTTAGCTGGTGTTCTTATCAGCTGGCTTTCTGAATTCTTGTAGGTCCACTCTCCCACTCTCCTTCCCCTTTTCTCTTGGGAAGTTTAGTTGTGTCCAGCTCTCTGTGGCAGTAATGCAGTCAAGCAATGGTGGGGATTTTGTGGGTATTCTCTGAATGTTCACACAGAGTGCTCACCAGATAGCAAAACCAGTTAAAATTAAAATAGTTTTAGAGGTTTGGTGTTACACTGTACATTTCTGGTAATTCACTTGAGGATATCCCTTGAACATACTTTCTACTTTCTTTTGTCCTGTTTTTTCTTTTTCTGAAACTTACATTTCATGTTACTACAGAGGAGTTTAACAAAGAAACGGGACAGATCCTTGTTGGAATGGATACGCTGCCTTCTGATCTAAGGGATTATGTCAAGGAAGACAATAAACGTTTTGAAAAAGAACTTGAAGAGTGGGATGCAGAACTTGCTCAGAAAGCACAGCAGGAGAAATTGTTATCTCAGATACCCAGGGCACCAGCACCCTCACCTGCTCCAGGTTAGCTGCTTCTACCTGTTTGAAAAGGGAGTAGGACCAAAAATCACTGGGGCTTGCATATATCGTTTTACAACGTAACAAAGGAAGAGAAAGTTTATTTGTGTAATCTTGAATTACAGCTATTTACTTGGCCAAGGTAACTATACTTAAAGTTTAGCCTGTTGGGGTGGGTTTTTGCATTTCATTTTTATTTAAAGAAAGTAATTAATTATTTATTGGTTCTTCTGCCTTTTCCCTCCCAGTTGTCCTGAGCTTTTCCCCCCCCCCCCATAGAAACTGAGGCTTTTTAAGATACATCTCACCAGTCTGTAAATGACGTATTTCTTCTAGTCAGGATGATTTAGTGTGAGACCTACATTCACATTTTAAATTAGAACAGCATTTAGATCTGAAGAGCAGAATAATGTATTTGGTGTGGTGCATTGAATAGATTTAATGATAGTAGGGCCTGCTTAAGAAATTACTGTGTGGAAATGAGGGTATTAAAATTATGGAAAAAATTCTGACCAGCAGCTGTGAAGCTTGTAAGAACCCAGCTAATAAAGACCACTGGCAATTGATTATAAACCAGAACTGCCAGGTTTTTGGTAGCATCCACGTTTTGCTCCATTGCAGTAGGCAATGTGAATGTTATGTGAAAGATGACATGATGAATTTTCTGTCCAGATGTTCTCATTGCTGCATTTGAATCCTGAAGATTGAGCATACATTTCTCATAACTATGTGTGACTGCAAAATGAGTGTAAGAAGTGCAGCGATTTAATGGCATTGTTTGTTTTGCAAACTCTATGGACAGTTGCTTTATGTTTTTTCATGAGTTCACAAACACTTTGAGTTTCATGATATTTCTTTTGTTAGTAATGGAAAGTACAAAACGAATTTTTAGTCTGCCAAAATCTGGTTTCATCATGTAAGGAATATAAGACACTATTTATACTAATCAATTTATTGTTCTCAAGTGGAGGAGACTGAGATCTCCCTTTAGGCAGAAAAATATAATGTATTTGTTATTTTGCAAAGTAAAAATAAATCTTACACTCAAGTGGCTGGAGGTCATTCCATATGTTGGGCCTGTATCCCGCAGAAACTCCAGCTAGAATCTCACTTTTGTTCTCAGTCATTCCTGGTGATTGATTGATGAACGCCCCTCACTCAAGAGCCTTTATGGGTCTATAGACAGGACAGCTCTATTCTTCCTAATGTAAAATCAGGGGTGCATTTTTAGGGGAGTGTTTAAAATGACATGAGACATAGACTGGGGTTAAGTTGTATTTGTGAATTGTGTGACCTACCCTGCATTTTCTGTGTGCTTACCTCATCTATGAGACAGTGATCCAAATAAAACTAATCAATCTAAAATTCATGCTTATGTTAACACACAAAATTGTTATTTTATTTCTGTCACTAAGTTCAAGCTGGAGAACCAGAGTATTTAGAGCAGCCATCAAGAGCTGATATTTCAAAGCACTTAAAAGAAGATTCTGTTCAAGCAATCAATAAAGCTTTAGCTGAACAAGAAGATAGAGGTCCAGAAGCTATAATGGATACGGTGAGGATATTTTGAAGCTTGAAATACTTTTCTGCTTTTATTTTGCAAGTGAAAATTATACAAAAACTGATAAAAGGGTGTGAGTCTGGACACTTTGAACTGAAAATTGCATTTTCTTCAGGGACAGTCCAACAGTAAAGTCCATCTAGAAACTGTGTACAACAGTTATGGCTGTACTGCAAAAAAATACTAAGATCTGTGTTCTCTAGGGGATTAAAGGGCTTGTCAGGAGTACAGCATACTGTTCAAATTACAATCAGCTGTTTGTGCCCACCGTCTTTTAAAAATGTTAGATGATCCCATGTATTTTTGAGGAGCAAACATTGGCAGTCCATGTAAAAGACTTGAAAAATATTGCTTTAGACATTCAGGTTTTTCTCTGGGAAATACAAGAATATAATTGACTTCCTTTGACAGACCTGTGAAGGTTGACATAGCTTTCAAAAATAAGGGGTTTTTGAACAGTATTGTGTAGCTTTAATGCAGATAGAGAACGTGATGAAAATAATTTTTTGTGATTCATAGGATGTCTATATTAACTCAAAATGTCTGTAATAATCAGTGTTGGGTGTTTCTGTTTTCACTTTTTACAAAGTATACTAAGAGGAATGGGACAGTAACTATTTTATGCATTATTAATGAAATATAGTATTTGACTATTTTTAGTTTCAGCAAATATTTTTTTCCTTCCCTATAAGTATGTAGATAAATGACAAATGTGTTTGCTACAATACTAAGTGCCATTAAAACGATACATGCATCTGTCTTGGAACTATATCCATAAATGTACAGTATGGCTTCCTTAGGCATCCCTAGTAACCACTAAGGATATGAACAGTTTAGATCTGTGCAAAATGCTTCCTAAGATCAGATGTGAATCCTCATTAAACAGAACTAGTCTGGCCCCAGATACCTTAAAACCTTTGAAAATTATGTGACAGCTTGTTGGCACCCTGTTGACCTGCTGTGTTTTCCACCCCTCCTGTGGTGTCAGGAAGGCAGGGAAGCACACATCCTCTGCTCAACTGAAATCAAAACTAACAGGGAAATTCATCTAACTCTGGATGAAAAGATGCTCTGCCACTAAAGCCTTAGGCTGCTGCATATTGGCCTTTTTTGAGTTCTCAGAACAGCTTAGTGGGAGGCTGTTTAATATGTGTTGCTCCAGCTGAAAAGGTGGCTATGGAGATACCAAAATTCATGATAAAATGTCCTTCATAAGGCTGTCCTTCCAGGGTTTGTGGGCACCATCCCAGTGGGATGTGAAAGAATCTTAGATTTTTTTTCCACGGATCAAGTGTTGTAGTTCAGGATAATGGCACTTGGCACAGTGGTCAGCCTTAGGACTTCATAAGACTGTGGTTGGGGAACACCACGGTCTGTTTAATGAGACAAAAGAAAAAAAAAATGAAATGGACTTCAGCACTTAAAATGTAAATTTCTAGTTAATCTGAAGGTACTCTGTTAACATTTAAAAGCTGTTCTCTGTATCTTCAAATTTCACTTGTGCAGAATTGTGCTTCCTTATCAGTGTATCAGCATGCTTTCTAATTATTCTGCTTCCATATTCATTCAGACATGCAGGCATATATTCCATTATTTCGCTTTTAGTTTATCCATTTTTAAAAGAAGGAAAGCCAACATATAACAGGATTGTAGGTTATTCACCACATGTTCATTATGCCTTTTGTCCTTTTTTTTGGCCTTCCTTTGTATTTATACAGTGTTGGGTGTAAATAGATACTGAGTATGTTTTTGGAATCTTTGTTTAAAAGTGAGGCTATTGTTGCAGTTGCAGAACAAGTATCATAGCACCTTGCAAGTGCTGGGATTAGAGTCAAGGTTTAAATTCTGCAAATGTTGAAAACTGCCTGTTATTCAGTGATAGACTACAAGAGCCAAGATTTATCTCCATTGTTTAAAACTTACTTTAACATACCAAGAATTTTAGTGACTAGGATAATTTTCTCATTTTCTGTTTAATTGCCCTTCTAAAAAACAAACCAGTTGAATGCTCCTTTAAATATTTTTTAAAACATCGATATTGATTGTTAGAGCCCTTTTATTTGTTTGTTTGATTTTTCTTTTTCTTTTTTTTTTTTTTTTTCCTCCAAGAGCATCGGGAAATGTTAGCTTTTAGTTTTGTTTCTATCCTGTAGTGTAGCTTCATTAGGTATTTCAGATATTAAGTATCTGACCTGGCCCTCTTCAAGGCTAGACTGGATAGGTCCCTGAGCAACCTGATCTAGTGTGACATCTTTAGGACAAGATGATCTTTGAGGTCCCCTCCTAAACTATTCTGATATTTTATGATATACTTAGTAATTTGGGGATGAAATGTACAAAAAATGGTGGTTCACAGACTCATCCTTTGCCAATTGACTTAAAATTATAATGGATATTAGAGTTGTAATACTGGTATACTAATCTGTAAAGGTAGCATTAGTGAAGAAAGAACAAATGAAATAATTTTAGTAATTATGGCTTAATTTTAAAATGCATTGCTTAAAAATTATAAATATCACTTATAGTCTCTAATTAGATACGGTTTCTGAATTCTTCCAGAATTTCAACAGTGGACATCATTGTACTAGAGATCAGCCTGTCAGTTTGTATCTCTCCATAATTTGACTGTATTTTCTGATGATGATTATGATGATTCTTTTTTTCCCCTGATAACACGTGCTGATAATGGTTTTCTTCTGCAGAGCTCTGATAATGCCCCAGCTCAAGCAGCTCCTACCCAGCGAGTGGTAGAGGTGGCGATCCCTGATGTAGGGACTTTTGTGATTGAGTCAGAGGAGGGGGGTTATGACGATGAGGTACCTCTGATTGCAGTTGTGTGCCCCACTCCTCCTCGGTGCTTCCTTGTGCTGCCTGATGAGAGTTTTTGGCATGTTTTGCACACTGTGACACCTAACAGACTTCTGCAAAACTAAATGCATAGCGATTTTTAATCTTTGACAATGTCATAGTTTGTCGTGAAATATGGAAGGAAAGCACTACAAACTCTAATGGGGCACGCTTTGCATGGTATCATTTACACTGGAGGTATATTTGTCCTCTTGTGGAGGTTGAATGCTTGTGTTAGGCCAGGTAGCCTTCAAAATGCTGGTGGATAGACTGCACACTGCTGCATTATTTACAAGGTGACAGGACACTAATGGATGTTCTTAATGTTTGTGCTTTCTTGTCAGTCCAGTAAAGCTCATGTTCAAGTCTGTTCTCTTATTTGCCAAGCTTTTCAGGCTTTGGGGATTAAATTAGCCATGGAAATAACCTGAAACTGACATGGCTGGTAGGACTGAACCTTGCAAATTTTAAAAACGATTCAGACTCGGGGTGATGCATGTACCTGCTACTAGTTGAGCAATAATTGAGGGGCCCATTGTTTTTCTGAGAGTCATTGTTTTTTACTGCCCAATTTCAGCAGCAGAAAGCAACACTGCTGGTCATTAAACTGCGCTGCCTTGTCTCTGCTTACTCCAGGTTTAGTTTGGTTGGGAATAGGGTTGGTGCAGCCTATATTCTCAGGGGTCTGAACATGCATTCTTGGGAGGCTTTAGCTTCCCTAGGCAAATAGATATTTCAGGTCATTGTGCCCTGGAAGTGTGATCAGTTATAACTGGGAGGATGAGGTGGGGAATAAAGTGGTATAATTGACATCACACTGAGTTTAGCTTTTCACAGATGTGTAGTCTCCACCTTGAAAGAAATGAGAATTTAACCTCATATAAACCTGCTTGTTTGTTTCTTTTTACTTTTGTCCTCATGCCATTTTCTTTCTAGAGCTTAACTTTCTTGCCTATTTCCCTGTTTGTTTTGTGAGTGTATTCACCTTTTTTTAATGTTTTTGTGTTTTTATGCTGTGCCAGCAATACCTTGGGCAGGGAGAGGAGGAGTGTTTTCCTTTGCTTACAGATAAAAAAGGAAGAGAGGCTTTTCTGAGTAGCTTGGATGTATCAAATTGTGTGTAACTTATGTGAATAGCAGTGAGAGATGTCTTGTGTTTGGCTTGGTGTTTGTTCATTGTTTTGAGTTTGATGTTTAAGAAGTTGTCTATAGATGCTTCAGGGATTGATTGCATTTGTGGCAGTGAGTCTTATTTTGAAATATGCATAAAATACAAGTGGTATAGTTTACCATGGTTTTAGTGCATATCTGAAGTGTGATTGGACGATTTTTCTACTTGGAACTTTTTTTTAAATCTTTATATGGCCATGGGTAGCACTCATTCAGTGTGCAGTTTCTGCTTGGTACTAATGCTGAACTGTGCATGATTTTTTCCAGGAAAGTTTGGTCTGTGTAATTTTTTTTTTTTACACAGTTAACACAGTTTTGTTGTGTGTGGTTTTTTTTTTGGTAAGATTCCTTTAACGTTGTTACAGTAAAACTGTGTATATACACACGCCATGATTTGATTTGCAGAATATGCTCACCAGATCTGTATTGAAATGTGCCATATCAATTTATGCATGCATTAAGTTGCTTTTTTGTCTTGCATGAGACTAAAAGCATATTGAATTTAGTCATTAAAATATTAATCATTCAAAAATTTTACCTTAAATCCCTTGTGGCAGGTCATGCTGACCCCGAACATGCAAGGTATTATCATGGCTATAGGTAAAGCCAGGAATGTTTATGACAGGTGTGGGCCAGAAGCAGGGTTCTTTAAGGTACAACTAACATTTTCAACTTTTTCTCCTCTGACTTTTCCTGTTAGATATGCTACTCCCTCTATCCCTTTCTGCATCTAGAGTCTTTTCCTGCGTTTATACATACTTGTCCATATCAGTCCCTCATTAGATATTTCTCCCTTGAAAAATACTTACTTTTGCCCTTTTGCTATCAGTAGCTCATATACCTTTCTTTTAACCTTATAATAATAGTAGCAAGTAACAAAATAATAACATGAAATCTAGATATGTGATCAATATAAGTATATGGGGTTTTTTCTCCTGTTAGTAATAAACCCCATGCCTTTGCTAGATTGTGGGACATCAGTATTTTTTTTTTACTGAGGGACTTTTAGTCATTTGTTATTTATTTCAAAGAGATGCTCTTAGTTTGTAATCCTTGAAAGATTTTTAATAAGTTTAAATTGCTTGCTTTTGTGTAACCACATGGGTGTCAATACTATTTATTTAAGCAGTTTTTTATTACTGGGAATTAGATGTTAGGTTTTTTATGGTGATTAGTCTTCACTGTGACACCAGATTTAACAATGTGTTCATTTTCTTAAATACACAAACTTCTGAGCATCTTTAGCTTGTGCTCTTTTGAATTTTCAGGGTATTAGAAAGGGAATTTCTTTGACATGATGTAAAGTGTAAAATCCTCTCAAATGTGATTTAGAGAGGAGAAAGAAGTTTCTTGCTTGTCATTGAGTAGCAGTCTGTTTTCTTCTTAATTGTTATGGTGTACTTTCACTAGAAGAAATTCTAAAAGCCACAAACTCCTAAACAAGCAACAAACAAAAAAAACCCTAACATCACCAGCAAAAAGTGCTGCAACCCCTTGGTAAGGAAATTGAAACCTCATGGGTTGGTTGGTTTGTCTGCTTGTGTGGGTGTTAGAAGTGGATACTTAGAGAAGGGTTAGAGCCATAATGTGTTTGCAGGGCTCTGCTAACTGAGCCTGATCTCAGGGAAGGGAGAGACACCTGCCACAGCCTCTGTTCAGTGCAACTGGGTCTGTTTGGGATTTGGTGCTGGTTGCCTTTTTTTTTTTTTTTTAATTTATTAATGAAAATATGTAAATTGTTTTTTAAGCTGAAAAACAATCCTCATTTGATTAAATCACTCCTTACCTGAAAGTTCAATTATATATAATTATATTTTTTAATATGAAGGGTGTTTTGATAATTTTAAAACAGAAAATTACTTCCAAATAAAATTACATTTAATGCTTTAGGGTTAACAAAATCATACTCAGTTGAAATTATTTTCACTCTTCAATTTTTGAATCCTTAAACATTTAGGCTTCACAGGGGCAAAATCTCTTTGAGTGAGAAAATGTTTTGACATAAAGTAGAAAACTTTCCTTACTCATTTTCTGCTGGATCGTGTTTGCAGTAGCTTAGAAGAGGTGAAACATGGTTCATTTTAAAGGAATACATAAGTATGAGTGGATGCAGATGAAGTGGGGTTGTTTTGGGAGGCATCAGATCAAATCTCTCATTTTCCGATAACTTACTATAAAGGCTTCTAGGGTGTCTTTTAATACTGTTACTGTATTCCTTTATGTGTTTGGTTTTGATGAAATTAGTGTTTTCAGAAAACGGGGGGGGGGTTCTATATCTTTGTTTTAATGTTACTCAGGTGAAACTCCTTTGGTGCAGGTCATTGTTACTGCCAAGGTTTAACTCCCCCTCTAGATCTCATGTTTAAGACATGACTAATATTCAGATATTTCTTGGTCAGTGATCTCTTCAAATCATTGTTCTTTAACCATTATAGACAGCTCCTTGCAGAATGTTTCCTTTAAGATCTTTATGTAATATCCTCAGTGAGAAAATGAAAGCATATGTTTTTTCTACTGTCCCTTTTTTTGTGTAGAGAAGTAATGTTTTTCATTTTGTTAAAGATTACTAAATCTGTAGAATCCCACATTATTTTAAAAATTATTATGAAAGTAATACATTTTTTTCCTACTTCTAAGTAATTCTATGAAAAAGAAATGTCTAATAGCAGTTTAATTTGCTTCCTCTATAAACAAGGTTTAATTGTTAGCCATGTTGACTTTCTAATGGTAGAACTTCTGATGTATGGTAATAGAAGCTCTGTGGCTTTTGGCATTTATAATGTTGTCCTAAACATCCTTTTTAATGATAATGCAATTCATGAGTATTTAAAGATATTGATGCAGAGCATTCTCCTAAGTTTGAAAAGTCTCCACATGCTCTATGTTTAAACCTGTATGATTAATACCCTACATATTTAGTCCTGAAACAAAATGTGTTATTAGCAGAGGATGAGAGCCCAAATTTCTGATACTTAAATGTCAGTTATTACAGCATAAAGGCATTTGAAATACTGAACAGGATTTTTTTTTTTTGTGACTGCTTTAGTGCTTTGTTTTGTACATACGTTGTATTGAAACTTTGCTAATGTGCTAGGAAACCATCTAGTCACCTCCCTGTTTTCAGAGGGAATTTATGGAAGGTGTGTTAACATTTCTCACCATTTTTCTAATTATTGTTCTTCTTGTTCCTGTTCATGCTGTATAGTTTCAGTGAATAAAATCTAATGAATATATCAAATGATATTCATTAAAACCTAATGTGCTGGCAAAGCTGGAAAAATAAATTATTCTGATCATCTCTAAAATTTTTCTAAAATACTCAGGGCTGCATCCTGTCATATAGGGCAATACTGTTCATATTGAATTATTATTTTCTTTAGAAATCCTATAATTTGGTTTTCATTGAAAGACATATTTCATTCCCACTCTAGTATTTTCCAAATCATACATGTTCACTAAACTTTCTGTAGGGTATTTTTTATTCATATCTTTGCATTTAACCATATATTAGAGGTACTTTTTTACCTTATGAGACTTCAGAAAATTTCATAAGGTCAAGTGCCTGGGATCTTATACTTTTCCTGGGCTTAGAGAAACATCACTAAAGATTGGATAAATCTCCTCTCAGGGAGACATAGGATTCAAAAGCAGGGAAGGTTTACTTGGGATTTTGTCAGGCTTAACTGGTGAGAGAAAGTACCAGCTTAACAATTTATCTGTGGTTTTGTTTGTTTTCTTTTTAAAAACATAGTTTAGACTTCTTAGAAGGGTGGTCTGTGGAGCTGTTAAAAAATTCTATAGGCAAAACGCCATGTTACATAAAGTATCTTGTGTTCTTTGAGTTAAAAGCCAGAAGGAATAATGTCTATTTTTTTTAAATTATGTAGGCAATTAAATTGGAATACACACGTCTGCTAAAATTAGCCCAGGAAGATCCACCACCTGAATGTGATTATCGTTTGCGTCATGCAATTGTTTACTTCATCCAAAACCAGGCACCAAAGAAGATAATTGAGAGAACATTACTGGAGCAGTTTGGAGATCACAATCTCAGCTTTGATGAAAGGTAATAAGATCTGCACATCTCATTTCCTGTGTTCATGAATGTTCTCTGATGTGTGGAAACAACCCCTTCATATTTGGCTGGTGTGTTTGGCTTTATCTCCTAGTTAATAGCGTGCAAGTTTACTCTACAGAGCAGATCATCTTTATAAAAATCCCTGTTAAAAGAGTAATCAAGAAGTTGAGTTTCTACACATCTAAAATAAGTAGAAATGCTCAGTGTTGTTCATAATTTTACACATAGATTTCTCCACCTTCTTTCACTGTGTTTCCTCACTACCAGCAGTAGAGGGCAAAGCCTTTCTAAGTGGGTGAGTGACTGCATGAGAGCAAGACAATGTCTCTCTTTCACTCAAAATTCCATCTACTTACTTATATAAATAGATAAATTAAAAGATTTTTCCCTACACAGAAATCAGACGGTTTTCTAACTTTTAAACTTCTGCAAAATAATTGTCAGGGAGTTTCAAACTGCCTGAAATTTAAAACTAAAAGGCTGAGCAATGTGGCAATTTAGCAAGATAAAACAAATAATCCTTTAAGTAGCACAGGCCTCCATCACACATACTTCAAAAGTATGCCCTCTCCTGCTGATTATACCATGCATAATAAAATGTACATTTTCCATGGCATTTTGGTACTAGTTTGCATAAGGCTGTAGCTCATACTGTTTGAGGCTCCTGTCGTTGTAAGGATGATACCCTCTCTGAATTTCCAGTAATATTTCATGATTTTTTCTTATTGCTTTTTGTAAGGTGCCGTAACATAATGAAGGTTGCGCAAGCCAAACTTGAAATGATAAAGCCAGATGAAGTAAATATGGAGGAATATGAGGTCAGTATTTCTCATGCTTTAAGCTGTAATTTGAAATAGTTGTCAGTAAAGCTGAATTTTATCTTCACAAATTTCTTCTTGTCTCAGACTAAGAAGTTAAAACTAGCTATTTATTTAAAGACCCCTTATTTGTCCAAAGGCTGCTCTTGAGCTAAAGCTTTTTTTTCCACATCTGTCATTCCACTGTTGGAGCCATAAATAAGTGTCAGGTTGGAATCTGTCCTTACTGTGTTAACGAGTCTTGACGTCACTGACAATATTTTGTAATTTATCACCACGAGAGCCACATGGCTTTTTGTAGGCAGACACAGCTGGCAGGGAAGGAGAGTGGTCTGTGCCTAGCCTTGCTCATCTTGATAGCTGCATAGCAGGCACAGTCACATTTGTGCTTTTCCTCCACTTGTCTCTGCAGCCATTCCCATTTTCTTATGAGCAGCAGATTCTTTTCTTTGCCGAGACCATGCATAACCAGCTTATGCATTTAATTTTTCCTCCTGCGTTGTTTAGAAAAACTTGGAGGGAAAGTGAGAGTGAATCTTGGACATTAAATAATCGTGACTAATAGTTGCTAAAATAATTCATCTCACATTTAAAGCTAAGCCTGTAGCTGATTTTCCAGCATCAGTTTCAAGTCTGAGTAATACTGTTCATTAAAACCTCTTAACAGTGGGTATTTATGTCCTGGACAGATTCCAGTGCACTACCTATAGCTCCTTGTTGTGCTGGTAGGTCCAAACAACTTGATCAGGAGGATAATGGGAGTAATCTTTTCCTCACAAATCCAATGAAAAATGTTTTAATTGCCACTTCTCATTACCAGGTTTAGGACCTACAGTAGATGCTAATGCATTGTAGTGTGCCTCCCTAGTCACTGATAGGGAAGGACCCTCAGAGTGGCGTTTTAGTTGCATTTTCATGGATGTGCAGGGCTCAGCATTTTACCATTTTCTGAATGATGCTGCACAGAGAAAACAAACAATTCTGGACTTAGCTGTGGGAGTGTGGAGTGGGGATATCTTCTGTTCCTCTACAGAAAACTCCCCCTTTCTTAGCTCCTGCAATAGGTAGTTGGGGATTTCTCCATAGATTGTGCCAGTCCAGTATAGTGGGTTGGCATTTTATGGATGCTTTCTCAAGCTCTTTCTGTTGAATCTGCTAGTAGCTGTGTCTTATGGTGTGCTGTCCCCTATTCTATCTTTATTGCATAATTGAAAGTCAGCAGTTAACCCTCTGTAGAGAAAGTGCCTTTCTCACCTGGAGCATTTACCTGTGAAGTGAACCAGGAGTCACTTGGTATAAATGGTGATGCAGTAAAATAAATGTTCTGCTCTGGCACCAACATCTCATCTGAGTTGCCTTTGGGTTTTTTGGGTTTATTTTAGCACTTCCCATGTTCAGGATTTTTCTATGTCATTCTTGTATTGAAAATTAAGCTTAATATCTGGCATATGAAAAAGCTTTTCAACATTTTCTGAGTAGAGAAGAAAAAACATGATCTCGTATAATTTTACCTGTGGTTCTCCTAAGATGCTTTGTGTTCCTTTCAAATGGTAATAGGTTCTGTAAGAATAATCTCATCTAGAAATGTTTAAGACATTTAAGAATTTTCTTTTTATTGAGGGAGGGTGGATTCAAGTGGACTTTCCACATATGCAAGCCTACTGGTGTCCTTAGTACTTACTGTGACTATTGGACACTAAATTTAAGTGGAGGGGGGTGTGTGTTTAAAAAAATATATTTCATTTTTGTGGATGAAGTTCTATTTACCCTTTCTTACATGCAGAGATGGCATCAAGACTATAGACATTTCAGGGAAACAACCATGTTTCTCATGGTAGGATTGGAGTTTTTCCAAAAAAAGAGGTAAGTAGTAGTATAGAACTCAAATGCAGTAGAGCAATGTGAAGGCAAAATGTAATATTGATAAGTAAAGCTATTTTTTAAATTAAGAAGTGCTTAATGTATTCTTCATCTTTGATAAGCATTTATTCAGTCTACTGATGTCTTCAGTCTTGCATCTTCCTATTATTAATTTCCATTTCCAATCTCTTATCAAGCCATGGGTTCTTTTCAGAGCACCCTCTACATGCACCCCTATTCTTCTCTTCTATTCTTGAGTGCTCTGGGTATCACTCAGCTATGAAAATCCTCCTCCTCTGGCAGTACCTGTGCACATACATTTATCTGCTTTCATCAGCAGACACAATTAGTCTTTCCTGCTTTTTGACTGGTCTTCCCACTGAAGTGATTTTTATCTTCTGCATTAGACTGAGCCAAAACTCCACCTATGGTGGGCTCTAAAGGTCAGAGAAACATATGTGAGAAAAACTATCATGCATAGCTGTCATAGTTGTAGCTGATTTGCCTTAACTCCATGGTGATTCATTCCTTTCTCTTTGTGAACCAAGTCAGAAATTGTGGCTCTATGAAATGGGTGACATTTATGTACTTAATTCAAAACAGCTCAGTTTTATTCTGATCTACGCACACAACAAGAATGGTGATTACAGTATAAATGTAGTCAATCACTGATTTTTCATGTATAAAACAACAGGTAGAGAAATCTATAGCAGGAGTCAAATTTAATTCTTTGTCTCTTTGTTGTGTAGTAAATTGCTCCGTATTTCTCATCTTGTATCTTCCCAAAAAAGAAAGGCCTCAAACAATGCAGGAAAATTGATTGCCAAAGACACAGCCTTGCTTTTGTGAACGATACATCTTTTTATACTGGCAAACACAATGAGCCCAAAGTCTTGGGTTGCCTTTGGGTTATCACCATGAAATAAACAGTACATTTACTAGTAATCTAAACTGAAATATGCTACACTATTGGTCTTAAACAGTTTGTGTGCAAAAGATAGTCAGAAGATTGCCTGGCTTATTTGAAAAATAAACACCCTGGTGTTGCTTTATTCCTTAAAGAGGCAAAAATGTCACAGACATTGATGTGGTTTATAGGAAGCCCTTCATGCATCTCTAAGATTGCAGACAGGGGTGAAATATCTTCAAGATCCTTGGTGCTGGGACTCCAGAGTGGCACCTTCAGTTGTAAAATATCAATGTTTTCAATAAATTCCTTCTTGCCATAACATATTCTGGTTATGCCATGGAGGAGAGACGGAAGCACAGGTTTCTGCTATGTGCCAAACAAAGTTCTCCGTTATTTACAATAACTTTCAGAATTAGGTTGAGATGTTTGTTAGATAGCATCTTCATAATTTAGAAAACAAGCCTATTATCACCAATCTTACACTCTAATATGGGTCAGAAATAAAAGGTATAATTTCAGAAGTGCTTCACAAAGACAGTAAGACTAAAGTATAGTTAATGGACGAGTGAGATGTGGGTGTCCAGTGACCTGCTCTAGAGGCATCTTGTGCAAATACATACCTGTATTTCAGCTTCAGGTTCCCAGAGGACTCAGAGATTTACTGAGGTTCCCACCTTGCACACTTGAGAGAGCAACGGTACCATCCTTATGCTGGAAACGAGACTAAACTGCTCACTGATCCGTGTCAGTTAATTTAACACTAAAACCATAAAAATACAACTTTAAAAATACACATGAAAGGATAGACTTTAATAATAGAAATATGATCTTCATTAGTAGGACTGTTTTAAGGCTTTTTTTTTTTTTTTTTTGCCTCACAGACCCACCTCTCTGTTGACAAACTTTTCTTAGCTTCAATAACACTAAATGATAACCTAGCAGCACTCGATGTCTTGATGGAGCCAAAAGCTGACCACTATTCAAGCAATATTTGCTTCTTTAATTGTAATGTGTTGAACAAACACAAAAATCAACATTAAACTAGTTTGGTGTATCTTTTTCATGCCTACTCTCAGTGGTCACTCGTGATCCTGAAGGCAAGTGACAAGGCCCACCCTTCACTGCAGCTGGAGAATTAAGGGGTCATTCAGGCAGATCTCCTTTGTAGTGTGGAGTAGTAACCTGCTCTGGCTGAGATGAACCCAGCCTTGGTAATGAGCCTTGGTAGGAGTTTTGCCTGCAGCTCACTCTTGTGGCAGCAACTTAGAAGTGAACAAACTGTATGCTTTAGCAGTTGCCTTTTAAGGTTCTTGCTTTTTAGTTTTTCAACTGCTTTTTCAAAGCAGTGCTAAAATTTTGCCATTCTCTGCTTTCTGTGTCTTTTCCAAAGCCTTGACCTAGTGAGCTCCAGAATTTTGTGAGCAGCTTCAGTGATTTTAGGCTTAGGCTGCACAAGCTTGAGCTTATGTGCAGTTCAGCAATGAGAAAGCAGAAAGCCAGCCATGTGCTGGGCTGCATCCAAAGCCCTGTGAGATTCTGCCCCTCTGCCCTGCTCTGCTCAGACCCCACCTGCAGGGCTGCATCCATCTCTGGGCTCCAAGCACAGCAAGGACAGGGACCTGCTGGAGCCAGCCCAGAGGAGACAACCAGGATAATCAGAGGGATGGAGCACCTGCCCAGTTAAGATAGGATGAGAAAGCTGGGGCTGTTCAGCCTGAAGGCAGAGAAGGTTGCATGGAAATCTTAAAACAACCTTTGAGTATCTGAAAGGAGCCTACAGGAAGGATGGAGAGAGACATTTTACAAGAACATGGAGTGACAGGACAAAGGGGAATGGATTCAAACTAACAGAGAGGAGGTTTGGATCAGTTATCAGGAAGAAATTCTTTGCAGTCAGGATGGTGAAGCACTGGCACAGGTTGCTCAGAGAAGCTGTGGCTGTCCCATCCCTGGAAGTGTTTAAGGCCTGATTGGATGGGGCTTTGTGCAATCTGGTCTAGGGGAAAATGTCCCTGCCCATGGCACAGGGGTTGGAACCAGATGAGCTTCAAGGTTTCTTTCCAACCCGGGCCACCTTATGATTCTGTGGATCCGTTTGCTAATTTTACTGTAGTCCCATTCCTCAGACCCAAGATATATAAGGAGTCTTGAGCTTGGATATACAATCATGATAATCTAAAATAACTTACCTTGGTGTTAAATAGCATTACAGTTGTTTCAGGAAAGGGTCACACACAAGTGAGGTGAAGAGCAAGAAGAGGTTGACTAGAAATAAGGCCACTACCACCACTGAGTTTTAATTTGCATCAACAGAGCTGTTGACACTGCAGCTTCAACCTGCAGTTGGACAAATAACTGGTTTAAGAATGGAAGGAGAAGGTCCTTCTCTGGCTTTATAACCAGTAGTTCTTGTCATCAACTTTTCTTCCCCTTTCCTCCAACATTAAATTTTCAGCTATCTGGTCAGTTTTATTGGTGACCAGTGGTATGAAGAGTTTTCATGGCTAGGAAAAATGGACTTCAAGTAGCCCTTTCCTTAATTTTTATATTGTCTCATTGGGAGTTATTACCTTATGTCTTGAGTTTTTGACTTCAGAAAACTCTTGACTTGTATTCAGGTATGCTCTGTGTGCATTTCTAGCCTTTTTCATTAGCTTGGTAGTTTGATTTTGGTAGTTTCAGCTTGACCCATGAGCTCATACTCTCATCAAGAGGGAGTGCATAATGTCATGTTCCTATAACCACTCCCTTAGGAAGTTCCTCCTCCTAGTTTTTTTAAAAAATTTGAATAAAAATGAGATATCAAACTGCCTGTTTTTAAGGTAGCTACTGGAACTGCTTTCAGTGCTTGTCTGTCATAACTGGGTCAATCAGAGAATGAACCATTTCAGGTGTTTGCAAGAGATGGTATGCAGCAGTGTGAGGGGAGATTGTTCATCTGTGCATGAAGGGATCTCTGTCACTTATTAACTGATAGGTTCTTGGATGCTCTCTTGTTCATTCTCTACCAATTAGCCTTGCATTTATCTTCTGCATTCAGATTAAAGACAGAAATATCAACAGTCTAACAACACTTCTGCTTTTGAAATGTTGTGATGGCTTCTTCCATCACATTAGATTTCAAGTAACTTGGAAGAACTTACAGTTAGTGAAGCATAGAAATTCACAGTTTTTGTTTTAGAAATGAGGTGACAGTTTTAAATCGTGTTTGCTGGGGTGTAGAATGCTATCAAGATATTAATGGCAAAGGAAGCTCAAACCAAATAAATGACATAAATGCAGTCAGGAAAAATTAAGTTTTCATGTATACTCAAGGCAAATCTAAAGCCGGTGGTTAAGTGAGTGAAATTATACCCATTGGTTTCAGTGAGCTTTGGATCAGACTTTGTGTGTAATGATCTAACCTAATAATAAAATAATTTGTTCTGATGTGTGTAAAAGACAAAATTTCATGGTTTAAAAAAAATTATGAAGAGATTGGTGGGGAGGGTTGGACTTGCCATCCAGCAAGTGGAATTACTTGTCCTTTGAGGAACACAGTAGTTACCTTGAAACAGGTGGTATGTGGATGTTGCACCTAATGCCTTTGTTTCTTCACTTCAGTTACATGGAAGCCTTGCTCTACCTTATCTATGCTTACCAGAATAACAAAGAACTCTTGTCCAAAGGCCCATACAGAGGGCACGACGAAGAGCTGATATCTCACTACAGACGAGAGTGTTTGCTAGTAAGTGAAAGGGGAACTATGTCTCAAAATGTTGAGTTTTCTGCATAGCTCTAATAAACTTAATTAATAGAAAAGTGTTGCTGTCATGAGCAACAAACCCAAAACCTCCCTGCATTAAGAAATTCAATACTGAGGCTTGTAAGGGGAAAAAAGAAAAAGTAAAAGAAAAAACATTATTTCCCCCCCCTTTTTTGAATAGCCAGTCGTTTTCTTTATGATTATAGTGGGCTCAGTGCCATTTTGTCTGGGCTAGGTGGGAGTAGTGGTTGACAGTGTTGGTGAGCAGAGTCACCCTGCTACCATGGTTTGATGGGGAGACAAATATTGGGAAAAGCATCAGCAATGATGCCTTGCCTGAAACAAGGTATTTTTATCTTGTTGTGTCCCTTTTAACAATAGTGAAAAAACAGAAGCAGGTGATAGAGTCTCAGTCTTAACAAAACAGCTGCAAGACTGGAGTTGGCAGGTATGAAATGAAGTGGCTTGAGGAGCTGCACAAGTTCAAGTGGATTAGTAGAGCATATGCATCACGGAGTAAAATGTTAAAACACAGTTGTGGTTAATATAAATTGCCAGGTAATTCTGCAGGAAGACTGCTTTAAAAAAACCTGATAATGATGCATGGTAGACTGAAATGCTGTGTACTTAAAGGCTTTCCTTTTTTGTGGTGGTTTCTGAAGAAACTAAATGAACATGCTGCAGCACTGTTTGAATCAGGAGATGATCAGGAAGTAAATAATGGCCTGATCATAATGAATGAGCTTATTGTCCCGTGTTTGCCATTACTACTGGTGGATGAAATGGAAGAGAAAGATATTGTTGCTGTGGAAGATATGAGAAACCGTTGGTGTTCCTATCTTGGACAAGAAATGGAACGTAAGTCATTCATTATTAAGGGAAAAGGCCCTTTTGCACCTTTTTTATAAGTATGGTATTTTCAATGTCTGGAATTAAACCTGTGCCTTGGTAATGTTTTTTTGAGCTACTCTGTCTTTTTAATAATCCTGTACGTATTTAAATTAAAAGTTACTACTGGGGTATCAGGCTGTAAAGGAAACATGCTTTTTGAATGGAAAAAAAATTGTGGTGTTAGACCATCTAAAGGGAAATTTATATCAACATCATCTTACTAGGAATTGATATGTCCTAGTTACTGCTAGTAGATCTAAAGAATATTAATTATTCCAAGTGAAACTCCTGCGCTACTACTCATTAATTTAAAAAAAAGTCAACATTGGGCAGAAAAAGGACAATTCTACATGCGGACATAAATGCTTATTTTTGTTTTTCTGGTTTGATTTGCAGCCAACTTGCAAGAAAAACTGACAGATTTCCTGCCAAAACTGCTAGATTGTTCTACAGAGATTAAAGGTTTCAATGACCCGCCAAAGTTACCCTCCTACTCCACACATGAACTGTGTGAAAGATACGCCCGAATCATGTTGTCACTCAGTCGAACTCCAGCCGATGGGAGATAAATTCTGCAGACCTTCCTAAGCACATTGTATAAACTTTTTTAGTTCTTAAACCTTGCCTTCCTGTCACAGGGTTTGCTTGTTGCTGCTATAGTTTTTAACTTTTTTATTTTAATAACTGCAGAAGAGAAATGACTGTACAAACTTTAGCCAGACTACAAACGATTAAAGCTGAGAATCGCATGGCACTCAGTCGTTTCAACCAGAATTGATGCAACATGCAAGTCTGATCATTATGGCAAAACTGCTTTTTTGCCATTTACCTGTTACAGTATTACTTTGCTTTTATCTTAAGATCCTTTACTTTATCAACAGCTGTCTGGATCATTTTGTGACTGCAACTACTTTAAGTGTCCAGTGCTGTGTAAATACATGGTACTTGGTAGCTTGTAAATGAAAAGAAAGAATAAAGTTTTATTTATGGCTACTTCTGTGTTTGCAAGCAGATACCTTGTATATTATTGTAAAATACGGGTATTTTTAGAAGAGATACAGTATATTGATGGGTTACTCAATTTTATAGATAAGGTTCTTCAGGATATATATGGCCAGTTTCCTTTCAGGTACTCGGCAATTACTGTATGTGAATATATTGAAAAACTGTCACAGTATTACACACAATGGTGTTTTGTATATTCTTCACTGGTCTGTATGATACTGCACCTGAGCACTTTAGTGTGCGTGTGAATGGCCATGCCAAATCTTTTCTAATAGTATGGACTGGTTTCTGAAGCAAAACAATAATGGCACCTTCCTTCTGTTCTTAGAAAAAAATTGAAGTTAAAAAATCAAAAGTATTTTCAGTATAAATATATTACACCCTCTCAGCAAAACTTCTAAAAATTGATTTAAGTACAGAAAATAAAGGTTTTAAAAAACTGAATTTATGAAGCTTAAGGATTAATCCATTTTTAATTGGTATTTGAGTCATGTAAGTGACCAGAAATAAAATCTTAATTTTAATTCTTTCCTTGAAATGGGTTGCTATTGTTGCAACAAAATATCTCAAAAATCTTTTATCTGTCCTAATTAAATTTCTGTTGGAAGTAAAAGAACATATCTATTGGGCTTGTTTTATAGAACTGAAATACTGTCTGGTTTTAATGAAGAAACTTAATTATTTTGTGGAAAAAGAGATTCAATGCATTCTTAGGTAATCTTGTTACCTGACACTATTTTGATTCCTTCTCTTTTTAGAGAACGTTTTGTGTTAGATCAGTAAAATATGTGAATATTTATTTGTATGTTTTTATTGGAGCGACACAACTTTTCCTTACAGGCTTTCAAGTGATGTTTGAATATCTGCTAATAAAAGGCTACAGAGGAAGGGGGTGATGAAGTTCAGAGCACCTAGAAATGCAGTGGGCAGAAATGTGGGCATCTCATGTGTAAGAGGTAGCAGAGTTCAATCTTAGCATGTATCAGTCTGGGAATTTGTTCACTCTGGAGAGACACTGGATCATAATGTACAAGGAATAGAATGTTTCCTTCAATTCAAAATCTGTTCAAGGCCATTCTCCACTTTTCACTATTGCAGTGCTTCACACTTTTTCAAACTACCCATTTATTCTTTTTTTTTTTTAAATATTGACCTTTTAAATACTATTCAGGAGCATTATTTTATGTCTGAGACTGTTGATGTGTGAAATATTCCTCTTAAAGAAAAAATGTATGCTTACTATGAAGTGGGAGAGGATACATCTTAAAAGCTTTTACATTTTGTACCTGTTCCACTTTGATTTGAAACTCAAGAATATGACTACTTAGCACTGTATTTCTAAACAAGGCTTTGAACAGATCAGACTTCATACTTTTTTAATAATAGTAGAAAGAATTAGATGTGAAAGAGCAACTTTATTTCTGTATGGCTAACAGGTTTTGAGTTTTTGTGGAAGCTTTTAAGGAAGTCTCCCCTCTTACTCTGAAGCAGCCAGTTACCCTCATCTCTTTAATCTTTCACAACAAATACATGGGTAAAGGCACTCTTTTTAAGGTAAAAAGAGAAATAAATGATTTAATTTGGGAAGAATACCTAAGGTATTTAAATTAAGAGGAAGCAAGGAAGGATGAGACTTGATTTTTGTTTCAGGGTTTTTTTTGTATTCAGTTTCTGAAAGTATGAAAATCCATTGACGTTCACAGTACTGAAGATAAATGTGTATTCCTTTGCAAAGACAAATTTTTGAGTTGAATTGAGAAGGTAGAAGAGCAGAAATAAATATATAGATGCATTTTGCTATTTTAAGATATTTTAAATATGTAAGTTTAAACTTTCAGTGAAATCATTAATGATTACATTAATGTGAAAACATTAATAGTTACATTAATTTTGTCTTAAAAGCCCTTTCTCACTGCAGTAAGGCAGCTGATAGCTTGGATTCACAATGCCCAGCACAAAATCTCTGCAAGTAACTGTAAGGTAGTAAAGCACACAGTCCATTTGGCTGCCTGATAATCTGTGACTGAATTATGTAAGGAGAGATGGTTTCTTCAGGATGGGGATTATGAAGGGTTTTATCAAGGGGTTTTACATTTAATGTAACACAAAAAGATTAAGGAAATTTAACCAAAATCCATTTACAAAGTCACCTGTACCATTAAGTGAAAGGTGGAGGTTTTTCCACATGTTGCTTCATAGTGAAAAAATGCCTGAACTTAGCCTTTTTCAGTTAATTTCCTTTTTTTTTAAATCTCTCCCAAACGTGTCTTCATTTTAGTCTTATTGCTTTACTTGAAGTGATATTGTGGTAGTATCAAGAATCCTGTTGTTTGCAGTTCAGGCTACCATAGCAGGTCTGTCAGCCTCAGCCTAGCAGAAAACCGTGAGCAGCAGCAGAATTGAGATGAACAAATGAAGAGGATAGAGGGAGTCAGTCTGTATTTTTTAGATGTTTGGAATCACATCAGACACCAAGAATTTGACCTTCATTAGTGAATCAGTGTTGCTTTGTGGACAGACTGTGCTTTACTGCAGGGAACAGGTTTGCTCGAGAAAACCTGAAGTATGAGCAGAATCAAAAGCACATGCTTTGTGTTCAAGCATTAACATACCCAAATTTTATAATGTCTGCATTAAGTATCTTTCAGGTTATTTTTAGGCTACTCCTGTGAAGATTGCAGCTCCCGAAAGGAACTGAACACCACCAGTAGCACACAGGAGACAGCTGGATACTGTCCAACAAAAGTAAAGGTTCATAAAGGGAGACAATGCCTGTATTCTTCCTTTTGTCATGTTTCCTTCTCTCAATCTCCAGTGAGTCCAGGTGTCTGTGGGAGGCCTTATATAAGCACAAGGTAAAGAATTTTGATGGAACAATGCACCACTCTAGGTCTGCAATGAGTCACTTCATCTGTACAACATTTTTCAACATAAATGTGTGTTTAAAAAAAAAAAAAATCTGTTCTAGGTTTGAGTCAATAAGAATGCAAAAAAAGTGAGTATCAGTCCTGACAGTGAGAGGAAAGTGGTTGCATCTTTCCATTTCTCTTTTCTGGAGAGGACAATAATACAGATATGAAAATGGTCTTAGCTAAAGAGGTCTTTTAGCAAAATGCAGTAGGTAGAATTCCAAAGGGGAGTGATTCAAGTGAAACAATTATTTTTCATATCCTTGAGATCTAGTTTTTGTTTATGTACTTTGTCCTTGGAGATCATTTGAGGTCTTGGTGGATAAGTTATTAACATTTTTAACTCCTAAAGAGCATCTTTCTTTATATCCAAGAATCAACAGAACATTGCTGCTTGGTTCAGCATTTCTAGTTCCATTCTGATCTATATGGGAGCAAAACCTCTGAACTTTTGCAGATATGTCTGTCACTGCTGTATTCAGATGTGCTCCAGCTTTATTGTCAAGTCCTTAAAATCTTGGACTTGGCCATGGAATGTTCTCGGTTATGAATTTCAGATTTTTGCTGTAAGTAGCAGGAAAGGACTTATCCTTCTCAAAAACTGTTTCTTGAGGTAGCACTTTGAAAGAACAGTTTGACTTGCTTACTGGTGGTTGGGATCAACCCAAATCCCCTTCTCACAGGCTGGGAAATGCATAGTGGGAAAGGCTTGTTGTCAGGATGATGGTCACAGGATGGATTCATCATGAATGTTAGGATATGGTCATTCCTCATTGCTCTTTTCATATCTAAACTGAAGTACCTCTTAAATAAAGTTTGGGCTCCATGGTTCATTCTTTCACTTTTTATTTCCCCCTCCCCTGCTGTTTCCCAGTGAGGTCACTTGAATATTCACTTTTCAGGCTTTGTAGTTGGTTAAGTCTTTGATTCACCATCAGCTTGAACTAACCACTGTACCTTTACCACCAAGATACAGAACCAGGATTCCTCTGCTTCCATCTGATAAGTGTGGGCTTCAGTTTCTGTCTTGCTTTTCCTGGAAATGCCTGTGCATAATCTGCAGGCCATATAACACCATCCACATGCATACTGTGGCAGTTAAGCATTTGAGAGCCAGAAAGAGGGAAGTTATGGATAGTTAGCCAAAGCTAACTAAACTGCAGAGTTTTTCTGTACCATGTCTCTGCATATCAAGAAAAAAAAAAAGAAAAAAGGAAATAATTTGTTGGAGCCTGACTTAACTGACCACTTTAGGAGGGCAAGAGGTGTCTTGTGCCACTGTTCTCAGCACTGCTCTAGTTTATGAAGGTTGTAGAGGCTGTTCCTCTTGTGTAATAATTTTCAGTTTGCCCTGATCTTTATACTTTATCTTGAATTATTAGAACTTCATTCAAATTAACTTCTGGCAAAAAGCAGCTTTTCCTGCTGTGCTGATTTCAGTCCTTACCCATGTCTTTGTTCTGTGTCTGGGTGTTGCCTGTCAGTGTTGAGGACCATATCTACTTCGTTATCTGTGTTAAAGTTCGCTGGACCTATTTGTACTACGTGGATATACAGACAGTAGGGGAAGGGCAGTAATTCCTGTAGATATTCTCCAAGAAACAAAATTTGCATTTTGTCTGTGACCTTTAATCTGTAACAGTAAAACTTTCAGTTGAATGTGGACTAAGGTCTTGAGAAACCTGTGGGAGTTTGGGGAGGGGTTGCTTTCTTTTAAAATTACTGATAATACAGGATCATGAGATGGAGGGAATTGCTGTGTAAACATAGTGAACTTTTACGTGGATTAGAGAAAAAAAACATTATTTGAAGTAAGTTTTAAGCAAAGAAGTCAGTGTTACATAAGGCAATTTGAAGAAAACTTCCTGTGTTCTTAGGGAAGAGGTTGGAGTGTTTGGCTTTTGTAAGGAACCTTGATCTGTGAAACTGAAAAACTTACAGCTTTTAATAGCTTAAGGTAATGCATTCTTGTAATCTGTTTATGAAGCTCTTTTGTCTGGAAAGTAAAAACTGTCTCCACAAAACTAAATAACCCCCTCCCCATTCCTCTAGGAAGATAATACTGTTCTGCAAAGTCCAAGTTGAGTTTGGATGTTCAAAAAACAACTTATTTCCTCCCTCCTTTGCTCAGTCTGTTAGAACAAGTACATTATGTTTTGAAATGCATATAATTTCTCTTTGCATTTCTGAAGGAAAATTTGTCATCTCCAATACTTTTCAATGTGAGATTAAGACCTGTCATTTTATTTGGCACTGGCACTTGTTCCACCCTCAGCTGATGGTGATTTTTAGTTATGTGGTTGTTGCATGAAGCTTGAACAGATGATTTGTCACTTCAGCTTCCTTCTGTAGGATGTAATCCTCAACATTCTTTGCATACAAAGGTTTATACTGTTGTGTTTTAGCAATTTACTCCCCTTCCCCCTTATTTAAGTTTAAGGCTGTTATTCAAATGCTTTGCATTGAGCAAGTGAAACAGCACTGATTCTGTTTGCCAATGGTTTACTCCACTGGAGACTGTGACATCACTGGACTTGGACTTATTAAGAGATTTTATGATGCTTTGTGCTCTGTGAATTTGTTTGAAATGGAAGGTGATGGAGTTACTTACCTGTTGGTTGCAGTTGACAGAGAAGAGCCATAATGTTGTTTTCTATTTAATAACAAAGTAAAATGAAATTGTTTCTTCCTTGACACATATCCTCACAAGATTAGGAAAGCTGTGTATCTTTTCTAGGACAGTAGAAGATTCTAGGTAAGATCTGATAAGTGTTCAAACTGGTCACAATCCTTTCAGGAGGGCACTTGCATATAGTGTGTTCATCCTGTCTTTGTTCTAAACATACTGATTTAAAGTATTTATGGTGGATTTTTATTTGCTCTGTAGTAA